CAGGGGTCTGCCAGATGAGGTGACATACACGCGCTATAGTTAAAACGAACACGAGGGAGAGCGCGCACTGACTGAAGCTGCGGCGGCAGAGGCACCTGCATTACTAGGTAGCCAGAAGGAGAAAGGTTGATCGAAAGAGAAAGAGAGCTAGATCGAATGAAACACACTAGCGGCGAGAGCGAAGCTGAGCTCGCTTATCAGCTCTGCTCTCGGCTCTGCTCTCGGCTCTGCTTTCAGCTCTGCTCTCAGCTCTGCCTCAGCTCTGCTCTCAGCTCTGCTCGTAGCTTTACCTCAGCTCAACCTCTCTCCCTCGTGCTCACCTGTGAGGGAGAGGTAGATCGAGTGGGAGGGAGAGGTAGACTTAGGGAGAGAGAGCATTACTGGCCATGCATTTATTGAAGCGCTGCTAAAATCAGCCAGCCTAGTGTAAGTGCGAGCGAAGCGGCAATAATATTTATTAATTAAGCCGTACATGATATATGCAGCTTAAATTTTTCTTTATAATTAAACAAATTATCATTTGAATTTAATTTTTAAAAATGTACATTTAAAATTGAGGCGTTGTTTTTCTGTTGCAAGTCCTAACATATATTTTAAACTTAAAATAGAATTATAATATATATATATATATATGTATATATATAATATATATATAATATATAATAATAAATTCTAAGCTTAAAATAGAATTATAATCAAAATCCAACATATTTCTAAAGCACCCTAGTTTTCATATATATTTCACAAAAACAGTTACTTTTTTTGTACAGTGTATAAAACAATTGAAAGACAACCTTCGCGGTAATCAGGGTAAATGAGGAAAGGCAGGAAGCGCACGAAAGCCGCAGCAGAAACTGGGATTCAATGGCGGCATGTCCGGAACAGGGAATGCAAATGCAGACGGGCGGATCGATAATACGGATACCAATGGGACTTGGGTGTGGAAATGCGAATGGGAATGGGAATGGGAATGGGCATGGGCATCCTTACCTTTCCCGCAATGAGCGTTTAATGAGCTGTGAACGCATTCACAAAGCGCCTGCATTTGGCGTTTTGCCCAAGGCTTCAACTCCGGCAACAAAAGGCCAACAGAAATTGGCGAACAACAGTGCTGGGAATAGCATTTCCCCTCCCCCAACTCCGCCCCCCCCTTTGCAAGTAGTCGTCATTTGTACAGAAAAAATTATGCGGACACTTGGAAAAGCCAATGCGTATACGCCCCATATGCCAATTGTGGGACTTTGGCGGAACTAAGTGGATATTTTCTATATTCTTTAGGAAAATTAAAGAAAAAATTATGAGATTGAGTTAGTTTTTCGTAAGGAAAATTATAGAACATTTATTTAATATTAATAATTATTCGGTTTAAGTCAGTTTCTTAGGCTTTTCCTAGCTAATTGTGTGATTTTGGCGGAACTAAGTGGATTTTGTTCTATATTCTTTAAGAAAATTAAAGATAAAATTATAAGATTTTGTAAATTTTCCTTAAAAAAAACTTGAAAATGTATCTAATATTAATAAATACTAGCTTTAAATCAGTTTCTTAGGCTTTTCCTTGAAACAAAAACCCAACTTTAAGAGCTCCAGCTCACCCATTGTTGGCCTTCGGCAATTGTCACACCTTTTTACGGCCCTAGCTGGCATTAATAGCTAATGAAGGGACATCAATTGCCCAGCCACAGGACACCAAAGGAAGCCGCAGGACGCAGGACACTGGCTCCTGGACAATTGGCCGCCATCAAATGTCAGACAATTTACAAAAGCTGGACACTAAATGGGCTCTCAGTCTCGCTCTCGCCTTTTTTCCGTTTTGTTTTAATGGCCATAAATTGATGTTGGGGTCCTTTTTTGTGTCCTTTTGTTGGTCAGAAATTGCTGGTTTTCCACACATTTTCCTGGACAGCAAATTATTTATTATAGTTTTATTTTTCGAGGAAAGTTAAAGGCAGAAAGCTGCAAATTAAATTTATTTAAAATATAAAATTCTTTAAACTATATTTAATAGATAGTAGTTTGATCCTTTATTTTTATGAAAATGTGTTAAAAAAAACTCAAAGTCGTAATCACCGGAAATCGAGTTAATGCCGGCAGTGACTTTAATGGCCTCCTCAAACTGCAGAAACTAAAACCAAAATCGCACAGCTTAAAACTTTTCATGGCTTTCACTCAGAGTGAACTTTTCGCTGGTTATTTTCCCAGGGACATGGAAAACCAAGGAAAGTATACGTACACATATATTCATCCGGCCATAAAACGGCAGCCATTCTATGTTATGCATGCTCTTTGGCCCAAAAACGTTCCTCTCACTCCCACTCGACCTCAAGTAATAGAATTAGTTTTGTAATTTCAATTAGCAGCAACGCCTGCATCCATTTTCCATTTTCGCATTTCCCAAGCTACATACATTTTTAATTAAATTTCAATACAAGCCCAGTGTTCCTTCCAGCACTTGGGGAACTTGTGCCGGAATCGAATTTCCAAGGAGCAACCAAAACCAGAGGCGCACACAAACACAATGCGAGTCCTTCGTTAAGAAATCCGAGTCCGGGGCCAAGTGCAAATTGAGTGAAGGCGAAGGATTATGTGTGGGAGAGTGTTTCAGTGTGTGTGTGTGTAGGGGGGCGTGGCAAAAAAAAAAAACTGGGGAAAGGGGAAAAGGGAAAAGGGAAAGGCAGGACACTTTGCCTTACATGCAAAATGCATTCAATTCATTTAGCACTATTTTTGGGGGAAATATACCCTGGAGGGGGGGAGTTTGATGGGAATTGCTTTAATTTATGGTTTGGTAAATATTTTTTAAATATTTTTTATATAATATAGATTTTTTATTTAATATTTTAAGATATTTAAAAAGATATCTTAGCATAAAAGAGAACAGCTTCCTTGAAGTACAAATCCATTTAACTTGGATTTATGGCCTACATTTTTTGTTTAAATTCTTAATTGTATTGTTAATTATGCTCTTAAAATTGAAATTTTTAATGTTTCCCTCAAAAGGCTGTAAAATATAGAAATTTTCAGAACGTTCCTGAATTTTTGGATGTACTTAAGGCCAAGTTAACTCAAAGAAAGACACTTCTTAGTACCTAAAGTTATAGTACAAAATATACTACAAAAAAATATATTAAAAATCTATTAACAAATATACAAAACTGTCTTATCGAATATATATTAAATTCTATATAAAACTATATAAAACTATATAAAAAAAATATATTTTAAAATGTTTAAATGCTATATTATATAATTAATATTTTTATCACCTTTTTTCTTTATAGAATAATAATATACACATTAAAAAATATATATAAAGCTATAAAAAAAATAATAAAAATAAATAAATACATCTATACAAAAAAATCTATTATAAAATCTTTATAAAACCATATTATATCATTGCTTTTTCTACCACCTCTTACTCTCTAAATTATATATTTTCCTCTGGGGTATTAATAGCCACCATTTGCTTTTCCCCTTTTTACTTTCTTCGTGTCTGTTTACAGTTTGGCCTTAATTTCCTTGCCATTCACTTGTCAATTAAGCGCTTCAAGGACTGGCTTTTCCCATTTGTTTTTCCTGGTTACTAGGAAAATTCAAAGACAAACAGCCAAAAAACTAATTGAAAGAATATTTATTGTATTTATATTGTAATCATTATCGGATATTGGGTTATCATATATATTCTCCTATATATAGGGTAAGGTGGGGTAAAGCCGACCTAGTAAATGGTTTTGGCTATAAAATGCTTATTTTACATCGGATAAAGTCGGTATGTATACCAAATTAAAGGTTAGACTTTTGCGCAACGTTCTATGCATAGAATTTTATTCATACCTTTGAAAAGTTTTGAGATTCAAGCGTTTTACGAAAAAGTTCATTTTTGCTATGTTCAAAAATGATGGGGTAAACCCGACCGCCTATGTTTATGGTTGATTTAGTACAGATATAACCTAAATATAGGTTTTGCAATGATAAATCAATCAATGTTATGTTATTTAATGGTAATAAAAGATACAAGAATTAAAAAAATTAAAATAGCAAAATAATTAATCAGTATCATCTGATTCGCTGCTCAAATAGCTTGCTGGCGTTTTTTGGTTCGAGTTGAACGTCTGGTTGGCTGCGATGTTGATGGTTTTGGTGTGATTGTTGTTTTTTTTTATTTTTTGCGGCAGGATTTACCCCACTACTTAGAGGTCGGATTTGCCCCACCACGTAATTTTTCATAAAAACGCAATTAAAAAAGAAATTATGAAAAAAAATGAACCAAACTTATATGCACTTTGTAGGACTTTATTCAAAGAATCTAAATCCACTTACCTTTTCATGCGATAACTTTGACAAAAAGAAATATCCTGCAGTTAATTATGCACAAAAATGAAATTCAAAATTGTGAAAACTAACTTGTTGTCGTTTGACCATCTCAATGTTGACTAATAAAATGCTGTCATACCACCATTTACATTGTTTTCGATGCTCTACACGACAACACTAATATTATTTTGCGTAGTGCTTCCGATTTTCGAAAACAGAGGGAGGTCGGGTTTACCCACACTGTCGGCTTTACCCCACCTTACCCTATATTCCCCTATATACATATATTCTCTCTTCACCATTTGACAAATACTTACTGGCTGCCATTAGTTTAATTAAAAGCGACGGGGTCCCAAAAACAAGGCGCAGCCCCATGCAATTAACCAATTGGCGGGAATAAAAAGGCGAGAAATATGAAACATGAAATATGAAATATGAGAAGAGGCCACACATTGAGTGAGAAACAACAAAGGAAATAATATTAAAGGAAAATGAGGCGAATAAGTGTATAAGGAAAAACCAGAGAGAAATACAGAGCAGCTGCTCTTGAAGAAATATTTGCCACAGAAACAGGGATTTTTTTTAAAGAAAATTAAAAATATAATTCAAAATAAATATATATAAATATAGATTTGTTTGTTATACATTTTACTATATTTTTTATATATTATTCTTTTTTCTTCTAGGAACTGGTGGCCATTTCTCCGGAGCGCCGCAACTGGCGTGGCATCTTTATTGCCCTGCTGGTCATTGCCGCGGTCTTTAGCCTGATTATATTCTCGATCTTCCTGCTGTCGCCGGAGGATGAGGGGCTGCGGATCCGGGGACGCCGCATACTGCCCAGCGATATACTGGGCAGGAGTTTGCAGTGGAAACCCTTTAATGGCACCTGGAGCAATGGTGAGGCTATAATTGAAATATATTTTGTATTATATTCCATTTTTTCTATTATATATATTATATTAAATTATATTGTGGCTTAGACTATATTCTATTTTATTTTATATAGTTTTATTTTTTATATATTCTATTTAAATAATATTTTTTATATATTTTACAGGACGTGAACTCGTTTATCGCGATCCCACGGGGGGCCTGTCCATACTTAACATGGCCGATCTCACCACACGCATTCTTATGACCAATTCCACATTTGTAAGTCCTCGAAAAATATATCCTTGTCCACAGAAAATTCAATAAATTAATTATACAATTTATATATATTTTTAAATATTTAAAAATTAACAGCGCCAACTGAATGCAGAATCATTTCTTGTGGCACCTGACCAGAAATATGTGCTCCTGCAGTCGGACACCAATGCGGAGGGTTCCAGGTGGGTTAAGCCCCTAAAAAATATATTTAAAAAATTTAATAATAATTTAAAAAATTAATAAAATATATTAATAACATATTTAATTTAATAAAATATTTAATAATAATAATAAAATACTTAATAATAAAATAAATATTTAAAATACTTGATTTAATTTATTTCCCCCCCTCAGACATCATGTCTACGAGGTGCAGACAGCCAACACATTTCCGCTGGGACCAACGGAGAATATAGCGGAGGCACCGCGACTCCAGCATGTGGTTTGGGCTCCTGTTAATCCACCGGCACCGCCACCACCGCCACCGCCGCCTGGCACCACCATGGTGCCACTGCCCAGCGGCAGCATAATCCTCAATAGCCTGGCGGGGGCCGCCAATGGAGGGGGGGCAGCAGGAGGAGCCTCCTCCTCCTCCTCCGCGAACGGCAAAGCCGGTGGCCCTAACGCCCTCAACCAGGCCATCGCCTTTGTCTACCTCAACGACATCTACTACAAGCCCAAGGTGCAAGGGAAGCTGGTGTGCAGGATAACGAAAACGGGATCGGGTTCAGGTTCGGTTTCGGAGACGGAGACCCTAAGCAGTATGGTCTACAATGGGGTGCCCGATTGGACATATGAGACGGTCCCAGAGCTGGAGAGTCGCCGGAGCAGCATGGAGTTCTCACCGGATGGCCTGTACCTGGCCTTTCTCAGCTACAACGACAGCGAGGTGAACGAGTACAAGTGAGTGTCCTTAAAATATTAAATATTAAATATAAAATATTAATAAAACATTAAATAATCCCTTCCAGATACACCTGGATGGGCGATGACATCAAGTACCCGGCGGTGATGAGCCAGCGTTACCCCAAGACCGGCTCCTGCAATCCCAATGTCACCGTCAACGTGGTCAATCTCTCCGTGTACAAGTACATCTTTCCCACACAGATCAAGCTTCCGGCGGAGGTGGCCAACGGCAGCTATGTGGGCGGCCTCACCTGGGCCTCGCCCATTGATCTCTCGGTTACGGTGACCAATCGGGAACAGACCAAGGCCACCACGGTCCTGTGCCGGGCACCGCACTTCCACTGCCAGGCCGTGCACACCGAGGTGACCATCAACGATGGCTGGGTCCTGCCCGCCGAGCGACCCATCTTCTCGGCTCGCAATCAATTGCAAAAGTCTATGGCCTCTAAATTCCTCCAAAATCCCGAGGAAGTGCCGCCAGAGGAGCGGCAAGTGAACTTCACGGAGGGAGGAGGAGGAGGAGACACCACCACGCACGAGATCAGCAACGGGGGATACCTGCTGAAACGGCTGCCGGTGAGGGATGGCGAGCATGGCCATTACCGTCATGTGGTGTTCATCTCCTCGCTGGACCGACGCCCGGTGCCCCTCACAATGGGTCGCTTTGAGGTCACCGAGATTGTCGGCTGGGATGAGCCGCATGAGATTGTCTACTTCATGGCTGCGCCGGAGAAGAGGCCCGGCGAGAGGCATCTCTACAAGATCAGCCTCAAGCTGAATGTCACTGAATCGAACAGGACGTATATCACCTCCTCGTCGCCCACCTGTCTCACCTGCGACAACACGGAGGCCACGTACAGGCTGCACCGGGCGAGGATCTCGCAGAGAGGCGACCGCTGGGAGGATATTGTGGCTCGCCTGGAGCCGGACGACTGCCTGTATGATATACCCAAGAATTGCCTGTACAACCGGGTCCAGTTCAGTCGCGACTATAGCTACTATGTCCAGGAGTGTCTGGGTCCGGAGGCGCCCAGCGTTTACCTGGTGGAGACGGCCAGCAATGACAAGATTTATGTTTTGAATGCCGGCGATGTCCTGCGCCACCGGCTGTCCCAGCTGGCGGTGCCCCAGATGCGAACCTTTAGCGTGGAGATCCGGCATGGATTCCATGCCCAAGTGCGTCTGTTTTTGCCTCCGGGAATGCGAGAGGAGGAGGATGTGGCCTTTCCCCTGGTGCTGCATGTGTAAGTTCAAAGAGATTTGTTGTATTTTTTTAATTTTATTTATATTTTTCCCTCCCTTAGCGATGCCTCTCCGGGCTCCCAGTTGGTCACCGAACGCTTCCATGTGGACTGGAACTGGTATCTGGCCAGCCAGCGCAGCTTTATAGTGGCCCAGATCGATGGGCGTGGCAGTGGCTACCAGGGGGAGCTGCTGCGCACTCAGGTCCATGGCAAGCTGGGCACTGTCGAGGTGGAGGATCAGCTGGGCGTGCTCACGTAATGAAACCCTGTCTACCAAGAAAGCACTCCAAGATCCTTATTCGATGAATGTTTTTACAGTTACCTGCGGGACAACCTGAAGTTCATTGATCCCCTAAGAATCTGCGCCTTTGGCTGGGGCTACGGAGGCTATGCCTCCACCATGATGCTCATCGATGACTCGCAGCAGGTGCTTCAGTGTGCGGTGGCCATCAATCCGATTGTTAACTTTGGATTCCACTGTGAGTTCTTTGGCTATACCAGCTCTTTGTTAAGTTTTCTTTAACCCACTTTATTCCTGGGACAGACTCCTTCTTCACGGAGCGTTATATACCCCTCAAGGGGGACTATCTGAGGGCTCTGCAGGAGGCGGACCTCACCATGAAGGCCGGCAACATCAAGGGCCGTAACCTGATGCTAATGCACGGCACTGCCGACACTTTGGTCCATCAGGAGCACACCCTAATGCTGGTGCGGGCTTTGGTGGAGCAGCAGGTCAAGTTCCGGCATCAGGTGTATCCGGATGAGGATCATGCCATTGCCAGGTCACTCAGCCATGTCTACAAGACCATGGAGTGGTACTTTGATGAGTGCTTTGGCCCCGTCGACGACAACGAGTGGGACCCCACGGGTCTGTTCGTGTTCAAGCAATAATTAAGACCCCCCTACGATCCTTACGACGAGGATCCGCTGGCCAATCAGCTCAGCGACATTGACACCGGCCCCTCCTCAGTCTCAGCCGGTGAAGGCGATGGCCAAGCGGCTGGCCATGGGGAGGGGGGCGACAGGGATCCTGAACGAGATCCTCCGGGCAGTAATCTCTCCACACTGCTCACCGCCACCACGACGAGCGCCTCGCTCTCGGCCCTCGATGAGCTGGATAATCGGCTGCAGGCGCTCGACCTGATCACCTCCTCCACGGCCACCACCCTCAGCAAGGTCGCCGGCAAGTTATGCAATTACAGCAGCAAGCGGCGGCTCCACCAGTCGGAGGCCACGCTGGCCCAGAAGTCGCGCATCCTGCAGCACTAGATCTTCGGGACGAAGATTCTTCCTTCCATGTGTGCGTGTGTGTGTGTGTGTGTGTCCAGTGGGTGGGTGTGTGTGTGTGACGAATCGAAAATGGAGCCTTTGGGGAGCCTTTTGATCTCTTTAAAGGCTGTCTTTGTTTTATTTATCTATTTTGATTTGTGTTTTTTGACATATTTATTTATTTTTATATTATCTTGATAATTGTTATTAATTTTATATTTTGTATATTACTTTCAGAGTTTTTTTTTAATATTTTTCTATATTTTTTCGACTTTATTTTATGTCTTTTCAGGCTGTCTTTATTTTAATTTATCTATTTTGATTTATATTTTTTATAATTAGTATTAATTAATATAATATTATAATTATTATTAATTTTATATTATTTTTAGAGTTTTATTTTAATATTTTATATTTATTTCTTGCCTTATCTATATGCTTTATTTATTTATTTTTTTTTTTAAATACAGAAGCATCTTTTAGGCTTTATCAAAAATTTGGCCTAAGGTCTTAATGATTACTCTTGTTTTTATAAATATATTCTTTAATTATATTTTACCCTCGAGGATAGCATCGTGTGTGAGTGTGTGGGTGCTTGCCTGTGTGAATGAAAATCCTCCGAAAGCAGGAAGCAGCAGGGCCTGAGGGAAACGGAAAAAACAGAAACAAAGCAAGGTGATTCATTTATGCGACTGATTATTAACATATGTATATGTATTAAATAATTAAAGGGAGAGAGGCACCGAGGGGAGATAATGTCGATGATGTCGTTGCCGTAAGGATTCAAAAGTAGGGGATAAACCTAATTGCTAAAAATCAGACAAACAAAAAAAGAAGACAAACAAGAAATGTAATTCGTTTAAGCCTCATTGTTGTTTCTTTACGTGTTCGTTTGTATGTGTGTGTGTGTGTGTGCGAGTGTGCGTGTGCATGTATATGTGTATAAACAAATATATAGTTATAATTGACTGAACGTTATTTTTTTGTGTATATATTAAAGATTAAATTTTAAACAAAAAACAAAAAAACAAACGATTAACCCAAGTCCGAAGAGAACAGAAAATAATATCTTAGCCACAGTTTACGAAACAAACTATCGAAAATGTCGAGAGTCTATCGATAAGCCTTCGATAGACCTAGCTTATTCCATTTAGCCGTTGGTGTACATCAATGTTTGTGATAGTCGAGAGTAGGCGACTATAAAATACCCTGTACTCCACCCGAATTGCTTTCCATTAAGACCCCCCACCCCCCCCACAAACAAAGAAAAAAAATACATAACGATAAACGATTAACGATAGACAACTAGGTAGAACCTTTTCTCGAAAACACTTGCATTGTGCAAAAGCTTTAAACTTCATATCCACATTGGAGTAGCGCCAAAAAACGTTAAATGCGTGGATACAGGGTATTTCCAGGTGTCTAGAATGTATACCCGATCTAATATTAAATATAAACGGAAGCGGAAACGGAAACGGAAGCATTCGAGGAAGCGAAAGCCGAAGATTGTGCAACACAGAGACAAGTCCCAGGCTTGGGCATATGTGCGGGCTTAGAACAAAGAAAAAAAAATGGCAAACATTTTTTTTTAATTTTTTTACCATTAACTTTTAATAGGAAACGTAAAGCGGCAACCCCTTAAGAAATTTGCATAAAGCCAAGTGTCAAAATAATTGTGTATTTGTGGGCAGGGGGCACGAGACACTCTCGAGGAACAATAACTAAGCCCCGCCACTTCGAGATCCCTCGAATAACCAAGGATCCAGAGATAAAACCTTATAGTCAAGCTTTAAATGTTGTACACGAAGAGGGGCCTAAACGAGAGAGCCACTTATGTAAAACCCAAGTTAACTAAACCAAAAAACAAAAACCAAAAAACCAAAAACCCAAACCAAATGCAAGACAGAGAGACAGATCCCAGAGTAAATGAATATTAAAACACATATTTATAAATGTTTGAAACAAGAATTATATGAAAAGGAAAACCAAAAAAACAAACATAAACGAATAAAAAAACTAAAAGAAACAAAAATATATATATGTAATTGTACTATGACAGAATTTTATGTATTCCAAGCGAAAGCCCCCCCATTAACCAAGACGTGGAACCAACCAAATGTAAACGCAAAGCTAACAAATCGAAATCGAAATCGAATAACGAATAAACTCAATATAGTACTCAATACTCATTTCCGTAAAGTACAAAGGAAACAAGTAAACACTCATTGACTCAGTTACGCCGCATTGAGTCCAGAAAGACCAAAAAAACTGGACACAGTGTCAAAGCTTTTCGTTTGTCAAGCCCAACAAAGTGATTTTTGGTTTCAAACAGCATTCCAAACCGAACACCCAGAACACCACGAATCGAGTATTCGAACTCAAATGTATTTAGTGAACAGCAGAACTATGTATTTCCAAAAGAGAAAACCAAAAACTCAAGTAAACCAAACCAAAACAACAGAGATTAAAAACAAATGAAAACAAAAACAAACAAAGAAGAAAAACCAAAAACCAAAATACCATAAAAGCGAAACAATAAAGACCTTTTTGTGTGTATGCAAATTAAAATAAAAACATACTTGTCTAAATTGTTGGAAATTGGAGGAGTGAATTGTTTTTATTACAGGTACAAATGTTGAATTTGATCTTTAATTAAAAATATATAGGTAACATTCAGAAATCATCATTGAATGCAGGTAAATTTTCAATTATTCTTTTCTTCTTTCTCTTTTTAGGGTGATTTTTAATCTAAATCTAAATAGAATTCAAATAAAATCCAAACAATATTCGAAAAAAATCCAAATGAAACCCAAATAAAATCTAAATAAAATCTAAATAAAACCTAAAAAAAATCCTAATAAAATTTAAAAAATATCTTAATAAAATCTAAATAAACCCTAAATTAAATCCAAATAAACTCCAAACAAAATACAAATAACATCTACATAAAATTCAAATAAAATCCAAATAAAATTAATTAAAAGTTAAATAAAATCTAAATAAAATCTAAAAAAAATTCTTAATAAAATTCAAACAAAATCCAAATAAACTCAAAATAAAATCTAAATAAAATTCAATATAAAATCCAAAGAAATTCCAAATAAACTGCAAATAAAATCTAAATTAAATCCAAATAAAATCCAAACTAAATCAAATTAAAATCCAAATAAAATCTAAACAAAATCTAAATAAACTCCAAATAAAATTCAAATAAAATCTAAAAAATGTCTTAATAAAATCCAAACTAAATCAAAATAAAAGAATAATAGAATTCAAATAATATCAAAACAAAATTAAAATAAAATACAAATTAAATCCAAATAAAATCCAATCAAAATCCCTTTTTTTATACTGATATTTTAGACCGCCTCCACTACCATTGAAATTTATTTGCCAACAATTTCATCAACATACATGTACCGAGAGACACTCTGATTCTCTGATTTGTGGTCAACGCGCATTGCGTAACGATGCCCTCGGAGCAGCATTTCTGGGTATCGGTGGCATCCGAGCCAGACGGCCATCGTTGTCGCAATTCAGACGGAACATGGCCAGGGCATCCCGTGTATTCTCCACAGCCGGACTCGGACAGGGCTTGATGACCTGCTTGACGCCATAGAGGATCATCACGACAATGGTGGCCAGGGATAGGGCCAGGGCACCGCGACTGGAGAGCGATCGCAGGACAAGGGAATCGCTTTCACGCACATTCTCCAGCCAGTGGCAGGCACTGATGGCGGTGCAGGCAAAGATTGTGCCCAGGACCACTGGCCAGCGAACGGTACGCGGCCTATCGGCGGCGGCCAGCTCCTCCAGGCGTCGCTCGAAGGCTTTCAGATCATCTTCCTCCGTATGGTAGCCCGCCGACATCGCCTCCTCCTCCTGCTCCTCCTTGCTGCGCTGCCCGTTGGCAGTCGGTGGCCGTCGATGCTCGACGAGGAAGCGCAGTCGTGTCAAGTCGTCGTCGTCGTCGTCGTCGTCAGAGCTGGAGTTGCAGATGCTCCACCGTTCGGGGGAGTACATGCCGCAAAGGACTTGAAAGAAATAACAAAAAGATACTGAAATATGGGAGCTCGAGGCAAACCACAGGCTCTGATTTGGTCAAAGGGGAATATGTTTTGTCTGATTTTCGATTTTGACAAAGAGTTCAAGGCAGAGTTTGGTTTTCAGTTGCTTGGATACTGGTATTTTTTTAATTTTAGAATGTATTTTGTGCTTGTTTTTGATTTTCTTAATTGGGAATTTCTTTAAAAATGCATAAAGAGAACACTGAAAATTCTTTAAAGTTTTAATGTACTTTATAAAAGTAATAAAAGTACTAAAGACCTTGAAGAAATAATATTAAATAGTAATAATAAAAAATAAATAATAATAATATTATTAAAGACAATATATAACCCGCCTAAGAAGGCATACAATAATTTGTGATTCCTTAAATTATAAAATTTTATTTAAAAATACAAAAAGAAAGAAAGAAGAAAGCCCGTAAATGTTTAATAAATATAATAAAAACAAATCTTGGAAATTCTCTTGGCCCTTTATTTCCACTCCCTAAAAAATTAATATTTAAAAGATGAAAACGATTAATGTAGACCATAATGTAATATCATTAACATTCATTTGTATATATAAAATATTTATTTAATTTTATTATTTCTTTTAATTATATATTAAATATACAATTACGCAGCAAGAACCCCCATTTTTTATTATATTATTTATTCCAATTATATATTACATTTTAAATTAATTTTTTTTTAAGCAGTAAACAGTCCCTTTTGCACAAACAATATCTAAAAATTCAGCACCTGCTAGCTCTAGACCCCAAAAAATCCAATGGCATTGGGCAACTTGATGGTTTAAAGATCTTTGGTAAGACAACTAAAGGATACAGTTTTTTATTAAAAACATTAAATAGTTTTTATTTATTTAATATAAGAATCCTCCAAAAGTAACGTTTATTTCAGTAATAATATTGGCCAAAAAAGCTTATACAATTATTTTCTTACATTTTTTGTTTCTTGTAAATATCTTGTGCCTTGTCTAGTGTTCAAGGGCCTCACGGAACCTGGAGGAGAAAAAAAGAAAACATTTAAAGTAAAACATAATATAAAGACTCTAGTCTCCTTACTTGTGGACCACTGTGGTCAGGTACTTCCGCATGCACTCCAGTTTGTGGTCAACGAAAGACTTGTTCAGCTCGTATAACTTTGGAATGGTAAACATAAAAATATAAACTGCAAAAAAAGAGTTACTTAACCTCTCTATTAATCCACCAAATCTCCAAAAAAGAACTCACCCGAAATGGCCATGGTCATGCCATTCATCATTCTCCCCAGCATGGCCAGCGAGACTAGAAAAATGCTCAAGTGCATCGAGTCGCAGGCATTTTTAAATAGAAACAAATTTATGAGATGGCCTAGCAAGTCATTGAATCCCTTCGCCAACGAACCGGTCACATTCTGCACCTTCTCCCGCGACAGGATCAGCACCAAGTTGTCGTAATCAAGCAGATCATGAGCTATGTAAGGGATATTGGCGGTGCGCATAACCGTTTTGAACATGCGCAGTGTCACAGATCCCAGCATCAGGTGCAGCAGCAAGAAGGGCACCACAAATATAACCGAGAAGCGGTTGAGGGCCAGGAGAAGGGACAATCCACCGACGAAAGTCAAGCCGGATTTTGTAAACTCACGCCAGTAGATGAGACGCTCCAAGCGAGGAGGCAAGCGGTTCGGCTGGAACAAGATGGTCCAGTTGAAGGTGTCGGCGATCTCCTTGGATCGTTGGAAAAACTCCAGTTGAGAACCGAACTCCTCGAAGACAGTGGTATCTGTGGAGCAAAGAAGAAGAATCTGTAGAATTATCTGAAGGAAACGAAGGCGTCTTGGGGGGAATTACCTGTAAGAAGCGAGGGTAAAGTATCTGAAGTGGCTTCAATGGCATCTAGATAAAGCGTCTCATTGCGGATATTCTCATTGAGAATATCAGCGGAGGTTTCCTCGTAAAAAGATTCTTTTATGAGGGATTCTTTGGGGGTTTCTTCGGTGGTTTCTTTGGGAGATTCCTTGAGGGTCTCCTTACGAGATTCTTTGATGGTAACCTTGGGGGTTTCTTTATGGGTTTCTATGGGAGTTTCTAGGGGAGTTTCTAGGGGAGTTTCTATGGGGGATTTTATGAGGGTTTCATTGGATTCCTTTAGGGTCTTCTTGGGGGTCTTAATGATGGATTCCTTGAGGAATTCCTGGTTGAAGGTATCCTTGGGGCTTTCTTTGGGGGATTCCTTGGGGGATTCCTCGAGGGTTTCCTTGATGGTTTCCTTGAGGGTTTCCTTGGGGGTCTCCTTGGGGGTCTCCTTGGGGGTCTCCTTGAGTGTCTTCTTGGGGGATTCCTTGGCCGATTCCTTCGCGGATTTCTTGAGAGATTTCTTGTTAGATTCCTTTAGCAATTCTTGCTTAAAGGTCTCCTTGGGGGATCTTTTGGGAGATTCCTCAAGAGATTCTTTTATGGATCCCTTGGGGGTTTCCTTGGGGAATTCTTTGAGAGATTCTTTAAGACCTTTCTTGGGGGATTTCTTAGGGGATTTCTTGGGTAATTCGCTAAGGGATTCCTCAAGTGATTCCTTGACGGATTCCTTGAAAGATTTATTGATAGATTCCTTGAGAGATTCCTGTGTGGGGGTTTCCTTGACGGATTCCTTGGGGTATTGCTTAAGGAATTCGTCAATGGTTTCCTTCAGGGATTTCTTGTCTTGGGATTCCTTGTGATAGGATTCCTTCATGGCGGCCGCGTCCTTGTTTACATTAACCGGAAGCATTTTACCAACAAAAATACACAAACTTCTTTAAAATAAACTTTAGAAAAAATACAAAACTTTTTTCCCGACAACAATTTAGGCCAACAAATTCTGTAACTTTTTATTTATTTTTTTGTTCAAACGTCCGAATTCCTTGCTTGATCGCTTAGCAATGGGAAAGCTACGATAAGACTAGGAACAAGATATAGAATGCTAAAGACACCGAAGCCAGGGCCTACTTGGTTAGTTACTAGATGAAATTCGGGCAAAAGTGGAGGCTGGAAATCTAGGAGGCCAGGTGGGCAGGAAAACTACATTTTTAAATATTTTTATTGAATTTTTAGGGTAATTATTCTTGTTTTAAAAAGGGAAACAAAATATATATATATAATAAAATATATATAAAAATATTTCAAAGGAAATCTAAGAAAAGAAAAACTAGGAAACTTTGCTTCTTCGACTAGCAGACAACCAAACCAGCTGCGGAAAAGCTTTGTGGAAAATCCAGCAGATTTTAGATCCCTGATAAACTTTGGCCAACGGATAATCTCATCTCATTTCATCTCATTTCAACTCATCTCCCTTTCAAGCCAAAGATTTCCAACAGCAGCTGCACTTCCGGCAGCAAAACTCACTTCCTGTCGGGCTGTTTGTGTGTTGTTTATTGGGTTTCTTCCCCATGGTTTTCCCTTTGGTTTTCCCATCAATTGCCCCCCTTTTGCACACGTTTTTCCCCCTCTACTGTTTACGTTTTGCAATTTTTCGTTTCGCATTTCCGCCGCCCCGTTGGCATTTCTCGGCCAACGGAAACGGGCCAAAAGCGCCGCAATCACCATTATTATTTGCTCGCGGCCAAATTCAAATCGAGTCCCCCAAAAAAGGGGGGGCCTGCAGAGCGTATCAAACGCCTTTGTTGACCACATTTGGACAGCCAGTCAGCCGGCCAGAGCTGGCCAGCTAGTCAGTTAGCCAGTTAGCCAGTTTGATGATGGCCAAGTGCCAGAAAGCCAAAAATGCCAGCACGACGACGACGTGCACATTCCGAGGCGAACCCTCTCGCCCGATGGTATCGAATGGGATCCCCGCCAGAGTTCGCCTCGTGGCGCTATTTTTGATTCATTGAGCAATTGGCCATGCCCATTAATTTCCAACGGCAAGTATATCGAGTATCTTCCGTCTAGTATCTAGTATCCGTAGTATCCAAGCAGCTGGAGATGCCCCCGGCCACCGGTTAATGGCCACTTCCTTCCGCCCTTCCGCTTTTTACAATCTCAAGTGCATCTCGGGGACAGCTGCCGCAGATGCAGCCTCTTCCGTCAAGCGTCGGGTTTCCCTCTCGGTGGCTGGTGCACTGGAAAAAAATACATGCCTTGCTGAGTTTCTTTACATTAAAATATTTTATTTAATTTTATATTTAATTTTAAATTAAACTTAATATATATAATAGGGAAAACCTTGTTTTATTTACCTAAATAAATATATCGATACTGTTTTAATATCGGAATATAATCGATAAAAAAAATTTATTTATTCTAAAATTTTTCATATATATTATTATTATATTAAGTTATATTTTTAAGATTCTCTTTCTTCAAGCTGATTTTTCCCAGCGTTCTCCTGGCTGCCTGTTGCATTTTAAAAATACCACAAATGAGTTTGGCATGTGCCACAGCCTCTTCTCTTGGGTATCACATCGCAGCTGGGAAACTGGAAAACTGAGAAAACTGAAATCGGAACTGACGGCGCCAGCGAAAAATCGCTGAGGAGCTGGAGGGCCTCAAAGCGGATATCCCGTTGGATCACTTTATTACAGAAATTAGATCAAAGCTGGCATGAAAAGTCCAATAAAACAAATATTTTAAAAACAAAAACAAATTTACCAAATAAAGGCGTATTTTTTAAATTGCTAAAATTTATATTAAAAATTAAATTAATTTAAAAATAAGGTGATAAATTTTAATAATGAATTTCTGACAGAAAAAAAAAAGAAATTAGAGTGAAATTTGAGCTGAAGTAAGGTGTTTATAGATTGGTTTTTTGGGTTATTTTAGAAAATTCGTTGTTTTTTAAATAAAGAAAATATAAAAAATATAAAAAAAACTAAGAAAAATATATAGAAAAAATATATATAATATAAAATATATTTCAGAGCTAATCATGGACCAAAAGAACAAATATTTAAATAATATTTGGTATTAATTTATCCCAAAAATATATACAAAATATATCAAAATTCATAAAAAAATACATGAAGAATATATAAAAAATATAGGGAAAATATAGAAAAAATATATAAAAGATACAGTAAAAATATATAATTATATAATATAAAAAAATATATTTTAAAGCTAATCATTTCCTTAAAAATCAAATATTTGCTTAATAAATTAATACAATTTTCCCCAAAAATATATTAAAAATATACAAAAAAAAGAGAAAAAAAATAAAGAAAATATATATAATATAGAATATATTTTAGAGCTAATTATGGACCCCAAAGATCAGCTTTTACTTATTTATTAATTAATTTAATATCTCCCAATAGACTCTGAACTCTTTGCTAGCCTGTCTTCAGCTTGGGCTTTCTGCTTGCTGCTTTCTGCCCGCTCTTGCTAATTTATGCCACGTCGCGGCTAATTAATTTCTGCCGCTGCTGCTGGCCACGGAATCCAGCAATCTCCAATCAGAAACTCTGGGGCTTCGTGAGCGGAATGGTCAATAGTCGGGGACTGGGACTGGGGGGGGCATCGGCTTTTCATTGGAAATGTTTTGCCCGTTTCGCAGTCCGGATTTCATTGGGAATTAGAGACGACGGCAATAATGGCAAAGCACACACATTGTTGTGTGTGCACAACCACAAGTGGCAATCGTTTAAGATTGTGCAACTGCAAAGCAGGCAGCATTAATAAATGCAAAGGCATTCGCTGTCCCCCGTCCGGTCGCTGGTCGCTGGCCATTTTCAATGTTAACTTGGGGACAGCAATTCTCTCGTAAAATGCAAATGCCAAATGAAAAATGCACCCAACGCTCGCTCGAGGAGGAGGAGGAGTGGGAGGTGCCTATTTCCATTTTCATTTTCATTTCCACTGAAAGGCTGAAAGACATTTCCTGGGCTGCCTTTGGCCTGCCCATTAGTTGTGTGTGCATCTTTGGGAAACGGCACCTCTACTACATGTGTTTTTTTTGGTTGTTTTCAGAAAGATCTTGATTTTCCTGAGGCGACACTTCCATTAGGATGCCCTGAGTGTAGACACTTTGGTGCCAGCCAGCAAGGCAGAAGTTGTATCTTGGAGATATCAGAGATGTTTGAGATATCACAGATCTTTGAGAGTGCAGAAATCTGGGAAATCCTATAAATATCTTAGATCTTAAGGATCTCAAGGAGATAACAGAGCTCCTAAAGAAAGCAGAGGTCTTAGCTGACAAGTATTTTATAATTTAAGTGTTTTTTTTTTTAATTAAGAAAATATTTAGTTAATTTTAGAATAAGTAACTAAGTAATAGCATAATATTTAAGAGCATATGGGCTCACCTTTGTTTAAACCTAAACCCAGGGATGTTAGAATCAGTTGGGAATTATATGTGCACACTTGGGAGATTTAAAAGAAACGATTAAAATCTGCCACGACTTGATATTTTCAATTAAAAATACTAAAAACAAACAATTGAAAAATATAAAAAAATAAAAATATATATATATATAATACCTAAATAATATATAAAAAATATAATATATATATAAACACATATGTATATAACCCCCCCATTCCCCTAAAACCAAATATGTTTTTCTGGTAGTCATAGAACATTTTTATTCTCATTTGCACACACACAGTGATTGATGATAGTTGTAGCACTTAGAACATAAACATTTGTTGCCCTAACATTACAGTTAATTAATAATTAATTAATCGTTATTATAAGTAGGGTTCCTCTAGCATTCTAGTTACAGTTAAATCGATTTTCTTGGATATGGTTTTAACTTGAATTGGGGACTCTGTATAAGGTCCCCGTGTATATAGTAGCTGATATGCTGCCGATATTGCCTGGCTTTGGCTTCATTCCATTATCGTTCGTGGGTTCGCCTTAGTATTTACATTAAGTAGAAAAATTTTTTAATTATATATATTAATATTAATAATTATAGTCGTATTTAATCCTCTTTCTATGTACAAAACCTCCTGCCGCCCCAAAGCTACAAACAAGTCAACATAACGATTCAAAAAAAAAAAAAAAAAAGTCGTTATAATTAGAATAAGATTAATAATATAATATAGGTATATCATATATATATATTTTATATATAATATATATATATATTTAGTTGTGTAAAAATAATAATAGTTTCGATCCCCCTTTTAAGCGGCTGTTTGTACAAAGTTTTTCATATTTCATATATATATTTCTTTAAATATCGTTTCACTTAATCCTTAGTCCTTAAGTATGCTCTCTCTCTGTTTCTCTCCGCGTAGCCTAGTTCTTGTGCCCGCGTAGACCCATGCCCGGGCCATGCCCAAAGCCACCAGGTGGCACATTGCTCTCCTCGATGTACACGTTGCCCGGCTGAAGCGCCTTCAGGACACGTCGCTCCTGGTGCTTGCCACTGCGCTTCTCTGTGGAAAAAAGAGAAAGAAAATAAAGAATAAGTATTAACTGGTGAAGGTTAAAACAAAAAGGTTTTTATATATATTTTTGCCATGCTAATTAACCGCCCTTCCCACCCGCTGAGCTCTGATTCCCTGTGGTTCCTTCAAGTGGATTCAATTTTTTTGGCATCTGGTTTTTACACTTACCCGGCAGCAGCACGTGTTGCGGCTGAAAGATTCCCGACTGGGACGCCGCTGCCGCTGCCGCCGCCGCTGCATGTGAGGCGGCAACTGACGCCGAGGTGGCCGTCACCATGGCCGAGCTGGGGAGTCCCCGCAAGGCGTCCGCATTGCCAATGAAGAACGTGCCGCCATCCAGACTCTGGACCTCGGCCAGTTTGGCCATCAGCTTGGTGGACAGCTCCTCCACATCTGGAAAGGGGTATGAAAAAAAAGGATTTAATTTTATTAAAAGTTTAAAATTTCTTTGGGGATTTGAGAGTTTAAAAGGAGAGGAAAAGCCAGCCTCAAATTGGAGACTATAATTAACTTGAAATCTTACAGAAACACAGCCAGATCTTAGCCTGAATCAAGCCTGAACCAGGCCGAAATTCACTTAGAACCCATAGAGTCCTATCTCTTGGTATAAGGGCATTTCTTAAACCGAAAAATGTCCTCTAAAGATATTAAATATGAACAAAGTATAGGCTGGTCCACTTTAGATTCGCCAAAAGATCAAAAACTGACGCACAAAAGGAGGAATAGCGGACGAGTATCGCGTATTACCAGGAAATACCCGTAAAAGGTCCGCAATCGGATAACATTTGATTTACTATTTATTTATTTAACTTTATTATCATTCATTCATGAGTCTGAATCGGACGTTTTGTACGCAAAACTATCGGTTTTTAATATCAATATCATATCGAACTAAGTTTTTGTCTACAAGGAGGTTCTTTATATTTAATAAAAAAGTTATAGACTTCAGATTTCGGCCATCGGATCGATGTGTTTATGGACTGCCCCCACAGGAAACCGCTCCGGATGAGTTGCGAATTGTAAACAAGAGGCGCCGCTGGCTAGCTGATCGAGGCCAGCGGCAGATAATTTATCATTTATTTATAAACTGGCAGCAAACAGAATACAAAAAAGAAGAACAACGAAAAACGAGAAAAAAAAACCTATGAAAATGAAAATGAAAATTAAGTTCCATTGCCCAAGAGAGACGCCGCCGCCGCCGCCGATGTGCGTCTTCTTTTCGTCCATCGTTCAACGCCTTTTATTATAAACAAAATCGCTGGCAGAAGGCAGGCAAACAATAAAATCTCTTGGAAAAATGGAAATAAAAATAAAAACAAAGACGCAAGGCGAGGCCAGAGCACAAGTTTTTCCATTTTCCGATTTTTCCAATACACCGATTTTTTCCTTTTCTTTTTGTAATTTTCAAATTTGCGCAGTTCAATTGGATTTTGAATTTGTTTTCTTGCCCAGAAAATTTTCCATTTTCCGGCCACATGTGCATATAAAGAGGTGAGCATTGAGTTTTTCCAAGGAAAATCAAAGTCCAGGAAGAGAGTTTTCTTAACGAGGGAAATCATTGGAGGAGGAGTAGGCACGGGAATCAATGTTTGCAAAGATCTCCTCTGGCCAATCTTGGGAGCCATTTCTTGCCCCCTTCACCCCCCCTCAATCTATTTATGGAAGCGCGAAAAACCATTGAGGGGAAAGGAAAAACACACAAGAACATGGAAATATACAAGCTACAAGATTTTCCACAACTTCTCTAAATGTTTCTCTAGCTTCTTCTTCATTCCAGTTTCTCCAGCTCTTCTCACAGTTCCTCCTTCTTTACTCCTCCTCTTCCCTTTTCCCCAGTTCCTCCTGCTTTAGTTTCCTCTCCTTGAGTTCCTCTTGGAGCTCCTCCAGCTCTCCCAGATCCCCCTCCCACTTAGCTTCCCTCGATCTCTGCTGTTGAATTTATTGCTTTGCCTTGCTCTGGCAGATTCCTCTGTCAAGCTAAAGGAAGCCAGGAACCAGAAGCGCGTGCCAAATACACTGGGAAAAAGGGGATAAAGAGATGGTTAAGGGGATCAAAAGATATGGGGAAACTGCTTAAAATGCTGGAGGCTGCAGCCCCAACGATTGTCAATGAAGCGCTTGAACGCGACTCTTGGAAAGTGTTGCCAGCAGCTGGTGGATGCTCAATCACTACCAATACATGTATATATACTGATATATATAGATATATAAAGATATATATAAACCCGGGGAATATATTTATAGATCCCTTTTGCCGGGCGGAAGTGCAGGGAGCCCAGCTCTGCCCCTTTTTAACGAGGCTGTCACACCATTTAACATTTAAAACTGTCGATGAGATCGAAGGAGAATTCAATTACAGGAAAAAAGAATAGAAGAAAAATAGGGAAAATAAAGAAAATAGGGGAAATAGGAAATATATAGAAAAAGGGAAAACAGAAATCAGAAACACACAAAATACAGAAAATCACACAGAAAATCAGAAAAAAACATAAAATAGACAACTTGAAAAACACAAACACACACAGAAAATCCATCCCTCTTCCGGGCATTTCCTGCTGCCGTTGGGAAAACAACATGTTTTCCCCCCAAAAATACACGCTTGCTTTTGCTTGTGTGACATGATTTTAGAATTTTCCACAAACATCCGCTTGTCCTTGAGTGGTAGGGGAGGCATATTGGAACTGGAATTGGAATGGAAATTGGAATTGGGATAGGAAGAGGGATAGGCATAGCTACCTGGCCGAGACGCCGAGATTCACTTCCGGTCTCGGCAAGTGGCGTGGCATTCGCTTCGCACTTCCCTTCGCACCCGATTGACCCCTTCCCCCCTCTTTTCGAGTTTCCTCGCCTCCATAAATTTTCCACACGCTGGACACGCATTGTGCAATGTGACACGCCCTGAATTATGATTACCAGCAGAAACAGAGGAACAGCTTCTTTTGAGAGAATCTTCCCCATTGAAAAACAGGTCATAAATCTTTGCAGAGGCGTCTCTAGGCGAGTTGATCTAGCATGGTCTATGTCTATTTGGGAAAAGGGATAAGTCCTTACAGGTTTAGAGAATACTATATCTTATTAAGGAGTTGTTTACTATCTAGAGAAGACTGAAAAGAGGGATGTACCATATCATTACCGATACCCAATATCTCACCTAATAGCTGCCTTAGAGACCAAGGCATATAGACTTTTCCATTTAATTTCGATCTTCTTTTTTCTTTTCCCTCCACATGTGGCCTTTCCCAAAGAGAGATCTCTTCTCCATTAATATCTTTGTGTGTTTGTATGGGATATGCTCCATTTGGGCAAAGCAGAGACTCCCGTTCTTCGGTCAAGTTTGAGATGGGGATGGGCAGAGACACAGGCACCGGCACCGGCACCGGCACAGGCACAGTGCCAGCTCCTCCATTGGCATGCAAATGGCATGGCCAAATATTTGGACGTTTCGTTCTACTTTGGCACAGGGTCTCCTCTGCTCCACCTCCTCTACTACTCCTCCTTCCACACCACCTCCTCCACCACTCCTCCTTAGCTTCTCCAATGCTCGCAACTCTTTAATATGCCTTGGAGCTGCCTTCAACTCGTGCAGCTATTCTGCGACCCAGACCTCTTTGGCGATGCCGGGCAGAGATTCCCATACATCAAAGTGTCGTGTTCTGGCCCGTCGCCTTATAAATATGTATGCTATGGTCTGATCCCGGCTTTATGCTGCTTAGGGCCGGGATCAATCAAAGCAGCAGCAGTAGAGGCAGCAGCAGGTGAGCGATGGTCGGGCATGCCAAGCAGGCAGATCGGTTCTGTGCGTTTTTGGGACTGAGCCCTTGGAACGAGCTCAGAATGGCTAATGAGTTGCTGGCCAGGTGAAACGGAGGAGGAGCGTGTGAAAGCCATATACACAAACACATATATATTTCGAGGTAAGAAAAACTAGAGCTAACCAGAGGGACTTGGCAAAACACTCACCCTGATCCAGGCGTCGCTCCATGCGGCGCCACTGGCGCATGTGATGGATGAGTATGCAGGCGGCCACAGAGAAAAAGACCAGGCAGGTAAGCACTGCCACATAGAGGACACCGGTCTGCCAGTCCAAAGCCCAGGCGGCGGCCGCCGTGGCCTCCTCATGCAGCTGCTGCAGTTGCTCGTGGCTCAAATGCTGCAAAGGAGCAGCGTTTTGATCAAAGTGCTCGTACTCCGAGGACTTTCGACGCTGCAAAATGAAGTAAAATTAATACAAGAGTTATATTAGGGCTACCCTGGACGTACCTCCTTCCAGTTGGGTTCTGTCTTGGCCAGGACCACCCAATCGATCTTGAGGTCATAGATGGAACCACAAATGGTGTCCGTGTGCAGCTGACAGGGACGCAGCGGTATCATCTCACCCTGGCATCTAGTGCAGGCCGTGCAACGGTCACGTTGCGAGTCCCACCAGTGCTGGGGGGCACAGGGTGAGCTGCTGCTGGAGGAGGAGCTAATGGCAGACGAAGGAGGAGGAGGATCATCTGGGGCAGACACTTCTGTGGTGGCGGGTGAGGCAGCTGTACACGCGGCTGCTGTATATAAGAGTAGCATTAGGAGCAGGGTGAGGCAGGCAGGTCTACCCTCCAGCCAGCTGCTCCTTCGTCGCCTTCGCTTGTGAAACATTGTGTGCATCTCCTCCTCATCCTGGTCCAGCACCAACTCCGCTGGGAGTCTTGGCGGCAACATAATTCTGCATAAAAGTAAGAAGAAAATATTTTTTATGATGAGAAGAATTTTTTTATGGGTAAATTCTGCACGTTTTTCCCATGGGAACCGAACAGCTGGAGATCATATCATAGATCTTTTAGGAGGAAATCCCAGAGGGGAGCTAAGAGAGGAGCTGGGAGAGGAGCTACTCCCTCTCAAAATAATTCGCGCAACGGCAAACTAATAAACGGCCAACGGTCATAGTCATGCTAATGTAAATGCTGATAATGCGACGCCAGCTCCCTCATCATTATCTCCATCATCATCATCATCATCTGGCTCCACACTATCTCCCCCATCATCCCCCACCTCTACATCATCATGTTCTCCCTCATCATCGCCATCATCAGAGCGATCATAAATGCGTACAGTTTGCAATCAACTTTAATGGCCGACCACCGACTGCCGGCTTGGCTTGGGTTCAATGCTCATCCCCCCCCGCCCCAGGCCCAGCCCCAGCTCTAGCTCCAACGTCATCCGCAGTCTACTCCTTCGATTCCCCGATATTCCTTGGACTATCAACTATTATAGACAGCGATTATTATTTATGCGGCAAACGCGACGGCGCTGGCAAGTGGAAGACACTTCCGCTGGAAGAGAAGTGTGTCCCTAAAGACCCTGTAGGTTTTCCTAGCCTCACCAATATCTCTTCTCTAACATATCTCTCTCTGTTATCCCACTCTCTCTTTCTCTTTCTGACAGGGAGGTCGTGCACTTGTCATGAACTGGGAAGCGGAAAGCGGAAGGCAGGGGTTTTATGGCAAGGGGTTGGGTATGGGAAAGGGGAATGGGACGGGATTGGAACTGGAACTATAGTCCCGGGTTTTGTCATAGAGCGAACAAGCGAAAAACGAGGGAAACAACAACAGGAAGAAGAAATATTTAATTAAAATCAACCATTATGGCCACCGTCCACACAACAGCGGGTGGGGTTTCGTCCACCGATCCGACCAGGGAGAACGTGTGGCTTGGAGAAAAAAAGAGGTGGCCAGCGGTGGAGAGAGCAACAAGTGCGGGCTCGGGTTCAGTCTCGGGTTTGTTATGGGTCTCGGGTTCGGATTCCAAAAGCGGATGGATTCGATCGATCGAGGGAAATGGGAATTGGCGATCAATTGACAATTAAACAAGTGCAGAGTGGAGAGTGGAGAGTAGGAAGGAGGTGAATACAGGGGGGGGAGAGTGCAGGGGGAGAGTGCAGGAGGGAGAGTGGGAATGGTGGAGAGTAGAAAGTAGAGAGGACAATAGTGGGTGGTGGAAAAGGGTCCATGGAGAGTGGAGCTTGTGAAGTAGAGTGTGGAGAGTGCAGTATGAAGAGTATGGAGTGGAGAGTATGGAGTGGTGAGCCAAGTGGAGAGCGCACAGAGGAGACTTAGAAGTGGGGGATTCGTAACGGAGAGTTCGATAGTGGAGATCGTAAAGTGAAGAGTCCAGAGTGGAAGTCTGCGGCGTGTAGAGTGGCAATTGGGAAGTGGAGAGTGCCCAGGGAACCTCATTAGCATGTGCAACATGAGGTTACAGCAAGTGATCGCCGCTGTCTTTACGACTCTTATTTCAAATGAATTTCTAATCGGAAGTCTTTCGGCCCCTAGAAGGCCCACGCTTCCTCCCGGCTCATTAAAAGCTCGTTTCATTATGCTAATTAGAGTGTATCACTATATATAACCATCTCTATATATATCCATCTCTATAATAGTTCCGGCTTGCCAAACCAAATAGAGAGGGCTGCCCCGTGCCCACCCACCCACTCTCTCTCTCTACTCTAGATTTTGGTCGAGATCCCATCTACATATACTGCGATCGTGCTCTGAATTATTAACCAAATGGCACCACCTCTTGCTTCTATCCAACCGAATGTGGATCATGGCTGCCAGTTTTCTCCGACAGCTTGAGTGACAGCCAAGAAATCAGAAAAACTAAAATGAAAAAAAAAAAGCTGGCAAAGATCGGGCAAACCGAAAAAGGGGCACATTTTTTTGCCTGCACATGTGGCTGACTTCTGGCCAAGACAAGACGACTGGAGGAGACTCTCTCTCACTCTCTGGGATTATTATGTCAGCTCAGCGGGCGTGTATCTATAAGATACATGTTCTGTTGTTCTGTGTAGCTCGTGCTGCGCCCTGCCTTCGCAATATTTATTTTTGTTGTTGTCGCCGCTGTCTGACAACTGACAGTGACAGCAATTTAAATCATGTTGCGTTTTCTTTTCTTCCTCTTGTGCTGCACTAATTGAGGCTGAGCAGTTGGGAGCTGGGGGCATGTATGTCTAGTCTAGCAACTGGAGGAGCCTGCTTCGCCGAGAAATGGGTCAGGGAAAAGGGACAGACAGGGTGGGCATTCACTTGGCCATCAGCACCTGGCAGTTGTCTCGCTGCCAAAAGATCAAGCAAATCAACCCACAGAGAGGAAATTTGCGTATTTTTATCATGCGACCTAAAACGAAATGCACATCAAACGAAACAACGAACTGCAGTAGAAGCAGGCGGAGATTGGAGGGTGATTCAAAGGAGATTGGAGAAGCAGTAAGTGGAAATCGAAGGAGGTTTATGAGGAGATTGAAGCGGCCATAAGTGGAGATTGGGGAGGGATTAAGAGGAGATTGGAGCAGCAGTAAGTGGAGATCAGCCAGTGGAGATCAGCCAGTGGAGATCAGAGGAAGCAGCAGGCGGAAATCGGAGCAAGAACAAGAGGAGATCGGAGAAGCAGCAAGTGAAGATCGAAAAAGCGAATAGTGGAGCTTGGAGCAGCTGTAAGAGAAGATCGGAGACGCAGCAGGTGAAGATCGGAGAAACATAAGGCGAAGATCAGAGGAGATCGATAAAACAGCCAAGGGAGATCGGAGAAGATCGTAGAGGCAGAAGCCGAAGAAACCTTAGAGTCTAGTTTGAAGTTAAGTGGAACTCATGATTTTGAAGCAGAGACTTTAAGAATTTTGTCCAAGAGAGAAGTCAGGGTAATCAGGTCAAGAGAACTAGGTTTTTAATCTTCTAGAAGAAATATTTCCTATATTTTTATGATCATACTTCCTTTTTGTTTCATTTTATTTCTGATCATAGTTTAAAAAAATATTCCCTCTATACATTTTAATTTAAAATAATAGTTTACCAAATATTTTTTCAACCCTAAAACCCAGCCTGAGTCTCTTATGATTCTGGCATTTCTTGAGGAATTCCAAGAGCTACTGATCTCGTGTTTTTACTACCCAATCCCTGACCCCTCCACGCTCCCTCTCTCTCTCTCTTTCTCTCTGGAATCTTGACAGCATCCCGCCCACTTACACAGCATCAGCGGCAAATGGTGGGTGGCTGTGGGAGGCGGGGGGCATAGCCGAGAGCATTTATTAAACTGTCAGCTGAATGCTCACGAATTTTATGATTCTGAGTTCTGAATCGCTGCTGCTTTTGTTTTCAGCTGCTGATGTTTGTTTTTTGTGTGTTTTTAGCTTTGTATTTTTTACGTTTTGTGTTCTATGGCGGTTGTGTAAATTCCGAAACGCGACAAAACCATTAAGCAGCAAGCAGAGGCAGGGAATTAAATGGAAAAAACAACAACCGATAATGAACATGATGATGATGATGATGATGTTGATGGAGGAGCAAAGCCACCTGATCAAGCGACATTTGGTCAAACAATTTTAGTGAAATTTTGTTGAGTGTTTTTAGAGCTTTTACAGTTAAAGCCAAAGAGAAATTCTCACTGAAATAAAACCTCCTGAAGTCCCCCCAGCAATGACCAGTTTTTAGTGGGAAATCCCAGGTGTTAACTCAAGTGTTTTGCCAGTGAAGCGAAGCCAAAAACTGGAAATAATAATAATAAATTATATTCCAATCAATAGAAGATGCAATCAGCCAAGAGCCAACAGTACATCCACACAGCTGTATCTGTATCTCTATCTGTAAATGTATCTGCAACTTATTTTTACACAGAACGGCACGGGTTTCGGTACGGATTTTTCGAGGGAGCTGTGGATGATGGATGGATGTGTGATGCGGCTCCCTGCTTTTTGTTCCCCCCCTGATTATGTAAGGAAGAGTTCAACGTATTCTCTATTTATTTACAGAGCAGCAGAGGAACAAGTGCGGATGCTGCCCTTTGCATTGCATCTTTCCTTCCGCCGCTGTGTAGCTGTATCTGTATCTGTATCTGTATCTGTAGCTGAAAATGTATCTGTATCTGTAGCTGTATCTTTTGCTAAGCCAGCCGAGGGGCCTCTGTTTTTTTTAAACCCAATTCTCGATTTCAGTTTTAGTTTCAGTTTCAGATTTTTGAATTTTATGCTTTTTTGCCTTATTTGTTTTTTTTTTGTTTTTTTGTTTCTGCACTGGCACAGAGGGCCGCCACTGTTTCTACACTCGATTTATATTTTTTATCATTTGATTTAATTCAATTCCATTCCATTTCGGTGTGTGTCTGCGTCCGGCATCCCCATTTAGCCCCGCTTCCGAAACAGAAACAGAACACAGAGAGTAGTCGGGGCCGACCCGACCCCGACATAAGCCATAAACCATAACACAACATATATAGCATGTAGCATGTAGCATATATAGCATACATCATGTGTAGTGGAGATGGTGGAACGGAGATCGAGGAGATCGAGGGAGATCGAGGGAGCTTGCGGAGGCAAAAGTGGGCACAAATAATAATAACCTGGGACTCTGTGTCTGGCTCTGTTATGTTCTGAATCTGTATCTGTATCTGCATCTGTATCTTTAGTATATAAATCACTCACTTTTTCGCTTCTTCACTTGTTTGTTTGCTTCTCTGCTCTCTCTCTCTCCGTCTGCCTTTCAAATCGCGGCAGGCTTCATGTTTTCGTGGGTTTTTTATTTTTTTGTTTTGCGGCTACTCCAAAAGATCCAAGTGATCCTGAGACACTATCTCACTTTTAGCACCTGTTTTTCATTCACTTTTCTTTTTTATGCTTCTCACACTGATCTTCGGCAACAGGAAAAAAAATCAGAGTCGGTTTTTTTGGGTATCGAAATCGGGTATTAAAATATAGCTGCGATCGATCGATCCGGCGTCGCGTCGCGTTTGGAAGTGCGATCGTCGCGGCGGTCCAGGTGCTGCCAATTCGGCTTTTTTCCCGTCGAAAGACTAATTGAAAATAACGTTAAACAGCGGGAAATGGCAGTTGAAACCTGGATTTTTTCTACTACTTTTTTTTTTAATTTTCCGCGGCGACGGAGCCGTGACGTCAAGTTTTGTACAAAAAAAAATGTTTTTCGAATGGCTTGGTTGCACTTGTATTTATAGGTTTCTTCACAAGACGAGGCGATACGAAGGCAGCCGAAGGCATTCGCTCAGCAGCCGAGAGAGAGATTGTGAGAGTAGAAGAGCGTAAATCTGCTCTGTGCTCTCCCTATCGTGTGGAAGAGTTCTACGAGATACTTTTGAGGTGAATTGCCGAGGATTGGCTCTCTCTCCCGCTCTCTGCGAAGGTCGATTTGGGCATGATATAATAACTTCACTATAGCGGATTTTTTCCTAGTGTATTTCTGTTGGTTTCCTAAAATCAAAGTCATTAATTATTATTATTAATTATATTTCTTTGCCGAGCTGACAAGAAAAATTGATTGTAATTACAGGTTAATATTTTGTATTCTTATTTTGGTAATAAACATAGCATTTTGGAAATTTATTAATGTAAAAAAAAAGTCTGTCGTTAAAAAATAGCTGTTGAAAATTTGTTGTGTTTTTTTTTTACATTAAAATATATTATTTTTTTTAGTATGCTTTTAATAGATATAAAAAATTAATTAATTAAATTAATGTTAAATTTGTTGTATCCCAAAAATATATTTGGTTAAAATAAATCATTTTGCGAAAACAAATAAAAAATTACATTTAAAAAAATATACAGACAAACCCAATTAATTAAACAATATATACATATTTTATTTATTTTTTTTTTTTTAAGAATTTATTATTATTATAAAAAATATTTTGAACAAAATTTTAATAAAATTGTTTCTGTAAAATTAATGTTATATTATTTTTTTTAATTTGTATAATAAATTGTTTATTTTTTATCAATTTGTTCAACTTTTTCCAAGAAAACCTGTTACTGGGTCTTCACTGTAATTGTTAACATGATTTTATATTAGCCATGGCAATTCACCATATTTCTCATTTATGGCATACTTTCAGGCGGCAAAGTTAAGTATAGATTTTGAAAACTTGCTCCGATTTTCCATTATTTCCATTTATTTGCATAAAATAAAAACAAAGCACACTTGTTTACCAACATATTTACATTGCAATAAATATATAATAACCTTAAAACATATAATAAACATATTTATTAACATAAACCCAAGCCCAGCTGGGGAATTGAATCAGAAAAAAAGAAAAACAAACAAAAACTCCATAAAAAACTAACGAGTTTCCCCTACGATTTCCCATAAACACGATATACATATATACCCTCTAAAACTTAAATATCGGTTCCAACCGAAAAAATTAAGTCATTAATTTAACATGTAATTAAAGATAACATATTTAACTCCAATTATTTAATCTATTTCCAGGCTGCGAAGATTTTGTGAAATCTGCGAGGCTGCAGCATCGTGGGACTTGCCACGGCTGCCCTTTTTGAGCTTGTTCATCTGCCAGTTTTGCGCATCCATCAGATAGTCCCTGAAAAGAATTAAATAGTAAAATAATAAGAGCATATTCGGGTATTTAAATATGTATATGTACCTTTGCTCCTTGAGCAACTGCATCCACTTGGCCTTCAGGTCAGCCATTTTGCCCGCCTCGCCGCCATACTCCTCCGGCAGCATGGAGCGCGGAAAGTGCCGGTATGGCGTCTCTGCCCCCGGCAAATGGAAGTGGATCAGCTTGAAGACCTCGCTCTTGATAAATGGCTTCACCACGGCCATCACCTTGTCCACGTAAGAGGGGCAATTCAGCACATGGATCTCCCTGAGCCGCACCGGATGCGCCTCCTGGACGAACTTCATGTAGACGCGCAGGGCACCGAGTGCCGTCTTGGTAAGATGGCGCAGCGTATAGCCTGCCATGTCGAAAATGGGAATCTCGCCATCGGATAAACGCTCCTTGTCCTCGGTGGCAAAGCGGCAGTCGGCCACCATGAAGAACACCTTGATTCCAGCGGTAAAGTTGAACTGCGAATATAATTTTGGATATTAATTAATTAGTTTGGGATATTATATATATATATATATATTTTACCCACTCACCTTATCGGCATCAAAGTCAATGAGGCGGTAAAAGAGCAGCTTGTTGTTCTCCGGTGTCAGGCCGGGCAACGGCACAAGATCACTGCAAAAAAAAGAGAGCCAAGAAGAGGGTTTACAAATACTATAAAGTATACAAAATACAGGGGGATTTCGGGGCACCGGACCCCAAAAACCGGTTGATGCCAATGCACCTTGTGACTGCACACACTGAGAGAAAATCAAGCACAAGTCCAGGGTGCAGCAGGTGCAGGTGAATTCCCAGCAAATAACACATTCCTCGAAGCTCGAAGTGCAACATCCAGAGTTGAGTTTCAATGGCTAATTCTATGTGGTTCCAGCGAAACTGCGAGCCCATAAAAAATGTAATTGTTAGGCTTGCTTAACTTTAAAAGCCGCAATTGGCCAACAATAATGTCTCTATTTAAAAATGTAAACCAAACATTAAGTTGTTCTTTGTTTTGAAATTATTACCCGGTCAAGAAAGGGGTGTAACTTGTGACATTTTTACTGATTTTTATGGAACTGAACCTCTATTAAAATTATATTTATTTGTTTTTATACTATTTGTTCCTTTTTTGTAGACTCTCGATAACCGGTTTGGCTTGTTAATGAAAAAAAAAACAATTACAAGTCTTTAATTTATAAAAGTTAAAAAGTGAATGTGTGTTCTTTCATTTGACATTAACAAATTCAATTTAAAAAAATAAACAATCAAAACAATTTAAACTTCAATGTTAACAATAAATAAAGGTTCAAATCTCACGTTTTGTTTTTGCTTTCGCGGTTGGCCGGTTTTTAAGCATTTTTTTATAAGATTTAACCAATTAAAAATACAAACGGAGGTCAATTCGCCATAATTATTTAAAGTCATTTTAAACAATATTATAAGCCGTATAATATAAGGTATATAAGATCACCTTAGAATGATTAAAATTTTTGTTTTGGTAATTTTTAACAAATATATTTATATTTAGAATGTTTTCAGTAATTTATTTATTTATTTTACTTAATTTTTTAGGAACCTGTAATTTTTTATTATATTTTTTGTCTTTGGTTTTTGTGACCTTTAATTTGTATTTTTTGTGTATACAATTTTTTTTAACCTGAACATTATTATTTTTAAGTTTTTAATGATCTTTAATTTACCTTCATAAATATTTTTTAGGAGCTTGAACTTTTTTATTATTGCTTAGATTTTTATTATCTTTAAATTTGCTTAATGAGTATTTATATATATATTTTTTTATTATTATTATTTTTGTTTTTTGACCTTTAGTTTTTCCTTTGTTTAATTTTGGTTTTCCTAAATTTTATTAGTATTTGCTAGTTCTTTTTTTACGATGTTAAATATTGTTTCATAATTATTTGTACAAGTGTATATTTAGGAACCTGTTCTTTATCATTCTTTAATTTTTACGATATTTTTTTTATGATCTTTAATGAAGAATAATGAGTAATTTTGGTAACTCTAGGTCATATTCAGTGTTTTTTTACTTTTACCATGAAGATCTTTAGTTCAACTTTAATTTAGGTTAATTTAATATTAACTTTAACTTTAATATAGATTGAATTTTAAAATTTGTACCCAGATTAGATATATTAACAGGTCATAGAATTTAGAATTGGGGAATTTTTGAGCACTTTCAGGGGAATATTATATATTTTTATATTATTTATTTTATATATTATATATTTTATATATTAATTAATTTATATATTATTTATTTTATACACTTTTTAGAAATACATTATAAATATTTTATTATTTCGATAATCTCTCCTTATAAAAATTCCTAAAAAATTCTAAAATCCAAAATCCAAAACTTAAAACTTACGCCACTTGCAGCAACTGCTGGGAGCTGGCATCCAGGGGATCCCGGTCGATGAAGATGTTGGCATGCTTGTTCCGCAGTCCATAGTTGTGCTCGATGAGGCGCTGGGCGGCGGACAGATCGCCGCGCGTCGTGTGCAGAAAGCGGCGCAGCAGCAGGCAGGCTGCGGAGGAATCAAGGCAAAGTGGTGTGCGAATTGGTATGATTACGGTTACAAATACCAGTATGAATACTAATACGAATAAGTGTATGAATGCGAGTATGCACCCATACAAGTATGGCCAGAGTAGATGTGCTGTCTTTGTGGTTATGCAACCTCGACTGCAGTGTGGACTCGCATCTCTTGTGGCAGGCAATTGACCCACTCACTAACCTGAGTTAGTTGGTCATCGCCATGCACAGGTAAAAATATTTTTAAAGAAATTTGGGAATTTATGGAAACGATAAGGTTCTTAATTTTATAAAATATTTAAAAACAAATTAAGCACATATTAAGTTGAGTAAAAAAGATCAATGAACTTTTGTTAAAGGATTATTTGTATTTTATATTATTATTATTATTATTATTATATATTTTTATTTATTAATTATAAAATTCCTGATTTTCCAGATTTAAAATATATATTTTATTTATTGATACAATTTAATTTATATTTTTTTAGATTTTCCTTAAAGAGGTCATTAGTCGTTTGCCATTTATTTCGCTGATCTCGTTTTATATTTTGAAATCCCTTAGCTTGTGCCATTTTTTTTTTTTGCAAAAATATGTAAATATCAGTTGGCATAATATGCAAAAATGTATTAAATATTCATTACTATTTTGTTTATAAGCGAACTTTAATGTGAACAACATATTTACAATACATTTTTTTCCTTTATATTCCCTTTTTATTATTTTTACTTGTTGAAACTCTAATTACACTCAAAAAAATAGTTAACTTTACGCACATATATTCGGCGGCAACTGTGTCTGGTTCTTGGCCCACTCCTGCAGCTCTTGAACCCGCTTGACCATTAGCTGATCCTCGTTCTGCTCGTTAGTGTGCACCATTTTGCCGGTGGCCTCAAGAACTATTGCACTATTAACTATTGAACTATCGAGATATCGGAATATCGAACTTCCGCGAAGGAGCGAAATGGCTATTAAGTAAGGGGAGCCTGTGGAGAGCGCGTCTGTGCGACGCTAATTCGCGACTGCAACTGATTGGGCTTCGTTTTTTTGGCTTTTCGTCAAGTCGCTGCTGCTGCTGCTGCTGGCTCTGAATATCTGCCGGCTTCGCAGTCCGCTGCCGCTGCCGCTGCCAGCAGCTGGCATCGCAAATAATAATCCAGGTGCTGGAAACCAAGTGCTGGAATAGTGGAAGACATGCGATCGGTAAGTGTAAGTGTATGTCCTCTTGCAGGTGTGTTTGTGTGTGTGTGTGTGTGGTTGCGGTTTTTGCTTGCTGCCATCTCTCCTTTTCTTTGCTCTTTCTCTTTTTATCCTTTGTTTACTGAAAGATGGAGAGCTTACACTAAAAAAAAATATATGTATATGTATATATTGGTATAAATATATAAGTATATTGTTAACATGGTTTAAAATATTTGTTAGGTAATTCTAAAAAATACATTAAAATTTGACAACTTAATTCTGATTAATTAAATTTTATTTATATTATTTATATAATTTATATTCTTTATTTTATTTATACTATTTTTATTATATTTATTACTTGTTTGTATTTTTATCTGTTTCTAATTTTGGTTTCATCAAAAAGTTTTTGTTGACCATTTTTTTTTTTTGTATTTTTGCTAACCTGGCCCAGTGATCTAGATTACTTTCACTAATTTATGCTAATTTTTACTACACGTAAAAAATGTATATATTATTTTTAAAGGTAATGTAAAGTAAAGTAAAAAAAGCAGCAAAATCCAGCCAATATAAAACCTTCATCAGAACCTGACTATTCTTTGCTGTGCTGTTAGATCCCTATTATTTTAAATACTTTCTTGTTATTTAAATATTAATATTAATAATAATTCGTAATTAAATTATAAACCTTTCTTATTTGGACTTACACCGCCAGTTGGCGATGCGTTGCTTTGGCGTTGTGCAATTTTCCATACACGTTTAAGGTACATTGTTCACTTTTCTGTGTCAGAAGGTCAAAAACCGGGGGTGTGCGTGTGTGTGTGTATGATTTAAGCGTGTGTGTATATTGCGTGGGTGCTGCTGTGGCGGGTTTTCCGGCTGCCCCACGGCTTTTCACGTCGCGTCGGTCGCGGCCATTGCTGTGTTGGGTCGACTTTTTGGTTACCCTTTATGTTTGTCTTCTTTGAGCGTAACCAGGCAGGTCGATCTAGACAAGCTGAAAACATTTTAAGTCAAAATTTTTATTTATAATTTCGGCATGGAACGAGTTTTTCTTACTAAATACCTATTTTAAGTATTTATTTTATTATTATTTATTTTATTATTATTTTAAAATATTTATATTATAATTTTTTAATATATATTTATTACTATTTTTTTTATTATATATTTTATTTGTTATTAAATTATTAATTTATGAAAAGAAGTAAGACATTTATATTTATATATATTATTTATTTTATTCTTCTTTTTAATATTTACTTTTTAATATATGAAGTTTATTTATTATTAATTTATTTATTATAAATAAAAGTAAGACATAACATGACCACAACTCTTCGAGTAACTTTAATTATTGGTTTTTTAACTACAGGATATCTCAAGCTTCGTTCACATTTCCTTTTAACTTTTAATTTTCCTATATTTTTTGTGTGTGTTGTTTTTTTTTTAGTAGCCGTTTCTTGCCGAGTTCGGTTTGGTTTCCAGCTTTATATTTTATCGCGACATTGGCAAACAATTTTCGGCGAGTCGAGGCGAAGTCGAAGTCGTAGTCGCAGTCACCAACGCTCCACTTGTTATGCTGGCTATGCTACCGCTTTCGTACGTGTTTCGCAAGTTAAACTATTTACAACACAACAACAAAAGACAGCAGCAACAATATAAACATAAACTAAAACAAAACTGTCAACAGCGAGAAGAGAAGCAGGCGGCGAAAGCGAAATCCGCCCGCCGCCGCCTTACATTTCTGCTGGCAGAGAACCAGAAAAAAAATATATAAAAAATATACAGCGATCGTATTAACCACAGTCCAACTTGCAGAGATCGAATTACTATATATTTCGAAGTGTGACACACCTGACTGGCAAGTTAGCTCCTTTCTCTGCCATGTGTCGCTGGAGGCGCAAGGCAGCTATAACCAATTTATAAATAATTAAAATAATTTTAAATTCATTTTGTGACCTAATCTAAATTGTAACACAAATATATCTATTTTTTAAATATTTATTTTTTAGTTATAGATATTTTTTATATAAAATAATTTCAGCTATTTCTTTCTTTTTCTTTTCTTGATTAATTAAAAATATTCATAAAATCTCTTAATAAAATAATGTAATTTAAAAATTAAAATTAATATAAAATTGCTTACAATATTGTTTATTTAAATATATTTTTTTTTAAATTCCTAAGCCTACAAATTATATTTCAAAAATATAATTTTTCCCTTGCCTATAATATTGCTCATACGCCATGTGGTGCGAGTAAATAAAATTATTGGTATAATTTGTATAATTTGTTTGCATTAGTCAGGCTTGACTGTAACCACTTGACTGCCAATTTTAAGTGCAGCTGTAAAACTTATTAAAACCCGAAAGCCAACGCAGCGAAAAGCTCGCTAAGAAACCCCTCCCTCCACCCCTTTGGCCTTGAAAATGGAACTTGGCCGGGGCGGCGGCCATAAAAAAAATAAAACAACAAAGGCCCAAGTCAGACTTTGACAAAAAACAAAAAAGAAAAAAAATAATAAAGTGCTAACTGACAAATTAAAATGGTAAAAAGAGGTAACTGGTAGTTCAACTCGTATTTTACGTGGATTTTCGGAATGGGAATTATGGTCATGTGAATACTGTGGCCCGTTCTTGGCACTTTACTGCGTCCTTGGCTTGGCATTAGCTGCAGCGAGATTAGATATATATATATATAGCACATAATCCGATCCAAGATCCAAGTCAAATGTTTTATAGATTTCTTTTGTGGAAACTTTTGTGGACACCATAAATCGTGAATTGGAAATTAAAACCTTCTTTCTGAAAATAAAAAACGATTGTAAAGAAGCACAGAAAGCAGGTGTATATAAGCTTTTCTTTTGGATTAATTATATTATTTTTTTTATATTTTAATACCCTGGCTGGGTATTATAATTTCATTCAAAAGATAACAACGCAGTGAAAGAGTCGTTTCCGACCCCATAAACCATATAAATACTTGATCAACATTAACAGGAGAATCGTTTAAGCCATGTTTGAGGGAAAACTAATTTTGAGCCATTTTTGCGAAATTTGATAAGGGGTTACATCATTAAAATTCTCAGATTTTGGCCAAAAATTTGAAATTTTTAAATAATTAAATCAAGTATGCAGATTTATTAACTGTAGAAAGTCTAGCACAAAACAGTTTTCCGATTTAAAATTAATGCTTTTTTGCCCGAGTTATGATATTTTTAAATTTACAAAATTCTGGTAATTATAAGAAATTTTTTAATATTAAAAATCGGATTTTATAATGTAAAATAATATTTTTTCTAAGTGAAGGAGTCATTTCCGACCCTACAAACCATATATATTCTTGATCAGCATTAAAAGGTGAATCTTTTAAGCCATGTTTGAGGAAAAACTAATTTTTTGAGATTTTTCAAAATTTGTTAAGGGGTTACATCATTAAAATTCTCAAAATTTTGGCCAATATTTGAATTTTTTAAAATTTCAAATAAAGTATGCAGATTTATTAACCTTGCAAAAACTGACACAGAACAGTTTTCCGATTTAAAATTAATGCTTTTTTGGCTGAATTATGACATTTTTTTATTGTTTGATTTCCACAAAAAAATATCATAAAAAATCTATAAAATTTTAAGAATGTTTAAAAATTCACAGCAAAAATGTATTTATTTTAATTTGTAAGGTCTCGATATCAACTTGATACTGTATATGTTAAGAACCTTTCAAAGGTAACTTTCACAAAAGTGGGTTTACTAGATTTTGTTTACTGTAAATGTTTAAATAAATAAACAAATCTTACCAGCGAGGTTCCCACACAAAGTGCATTCATAACTTGGCACTCTCTGCTGTTTGCCAACTTTGTTTGCATCATTTGGCTAAATCAATTAGCCAGAATACGCGCACATTGACGGCTAATTACGGCCAGCAGCATCATCATCGACGCCAAAACAAATTGGCGGTTACAAAAGTCGTCATGCAAATTATTGCACATTTCGGGCAAAGTAAAGAATGATAAGTGCATAATGCAGGCAAGGAAAAAATATTAAAAAAAAAACTATATGTAAGCTTGAAAGCTTCAACTCACTCTGCTGAAAAAAACCAACTCACGATCGTTTGCAATGCTGCAACACACATATTCATTATAATTCTCGGGAGCGGTAGCCCTTCTATTTTGAAATTTGTAATCTCTTAATTTTGATTAAAAGCAACACATTACCACATAAGAAATTTTAAATATATTTTGAGAATTATTAAAATTAGGGAGTTTTTTTAAGTTGTTTAATTTTGTTTAGAAGCAACATACTACCTCATAATCGTTGTTTATATTAATATTTTAATAATAATCTTAATTAATATAATCATTATTTAAATTATAATATTAATATTAATAATAAAATATGCTTATAAATATTTTTTCTCTTCCCTAGCATAGTCTAAAAAAAAACCTTGTAATATTTAAAAATATTTTTTCAGAACAAAAAATAATTGGATCTATTTTCTTTTTAATTTGATAAGTTAAAATTAAAAATATAAAAAAATAAATAAATAAATATTTAATAATAATTTTAATAAAATTTAGAAGCCTCTTTAAGTTGGATAATAATAATTAAAAGCAACATATTAACCCATAATTATTTTATATGTATATAAATCATTAATAACATTAATATTTTGAAGCTTTTAAAACATTTTCCCTTTCCCAGCACATCCTAAAAAAAAATCATTATAATATTTTTAAATATTTTTTCTGATCTCATAAATTTTTCTTATTTTTTTATTATATATTTTTTTATAAATTCTTAAAATTTTCTTCTTTTAAATATTTTTTTTTAATATTAAAAAGGTTTTAAAACCCTTTGCCTTCCCTTCCACAGCCTACAAAAAAACACTGTAATATTTTTAAATATTTTTTCTGATCTCATAATTTTTATTTTATTTTTTTGTTATTATATATTCTTTTATAAATTCTTAAAATTTTATTCTTTTAATTATTTTTTTTTAATATAAAAAGATATTACCTTTTTCCCTTCCCCAAAAAACACACAAATATTTTTAAATATTTTTTCTGACCTCATAAATTTTTCTTTTATTCGTCGATACAAAAATTGATTTAAATACTCAACATTGGCGCACGATCTTAGCTAGTCTTAGCTTACCTAGGAGGGGGGTATTAGGGGGGAGGGGCTAACAGTATGAACAACGATCAGTTTAGTTACAGTTTAGCCTGTAGTTAAGCCTACGCAGGTATGTACACGGGCCAGGCGGAGCATCACCTGCTGCTCCGCCTGTTCTTTGGACTGTTCCCTGGGGCAGCACTGCTCCCATTCGCTGATCCTCGCAGCTGCTTCAGCTCGGAACGCGTGGCCGCCTTGATGCTCTGCACCTGTTGACGCACCGAGGCGCTCTTGTAGGTGATCGGTGGCTCGGCTGAGCTCGGACTCAGACTGGCAGTGGGCACGGTGGCGGAGGAGGAGGAGGAGGCCTCCTTCTGCTCGAACAGATCACTCACCTCCACCATGCGGGGCTTGAAGAACATATTCGGCCGAATGACCGCCTTCTCCGGCTGCTTGAACAGATTGAGCAGGCCCCAGGACATCTCCAGACGTTCGTTGTGGCTGCCGTGACCCTCGCCAGCCTCCGGCGAGAGCGAGGCACTCTCCACCTCCGACTCGAGCACCCAGGCCGCATTCCTCACCTCAATGCGCAGCCTCTCGCACTCCTCCAGGCTGACATTCTTGCTCACATTGAGCAGCTGCTCCAGCGGATTCACAATGTACATGGCCGAGTGATCCGGCTTGGCCAGCGCCCTGCCCTCGTTCAGCGAGATGGCACGATTGTGGAAGTCAAACTGCGAGTAGAACTCGAAGAACTGCAGCAGCAGCTCGCTTAGCGAGCTCTGATTGCGACTCCGGAACCCCAGGCGCTCCAGGTCGCGTCCAAAGCTACAATTGATGCCATCCTCGGTGATGCGCATGTCCGAGGGCTCGGCCGCCTTGGCCAGGGCCGATATGGTGGGCAGGATGGGCTGGCGCAGCTGCTGCAGAAAGAACATGACCAGGCAGGTGAGCGAGAAGTTGCTGATCCAGCGTCCTGGGGAGGGATTGGTCAGGCCGCAGGCCTGTGCCCAGCGTCGGATGCTGAAGGTAAGTGGCCGGACGCGCACATCCAGCTCGCCGAACATGTACAGCAGCTCGGACATGTAGTAGCCGGTGCTGGAAAGAGGAAAAAGGAAAGAGGAGATTTCAAGAAAAACCGAGGGAAAAACGAAGATTTCAAGAAAAACCAAGGGAAACACGTAGATTTCTAAATGAATGTTCAGGGAAAAACTGACCCACCCCCATCTTTCTTTCGGGCCGGATATGAGTGCAGCGCTTGGAGCTTATCACCAAGTGAATCATGGCCATTGGCATGCCCCAGGGAGAGCACTGATTCACCTGTTCACCTGTTCTCGCTCTCCCCAGCCAGAGAAAGATATGTATTTAGACGGCATTTGGCAACCTGTGGCTATCTTATCTTATCGAGCTGGCCAAAAGCTTTCTTATCTAGCGCCTCCAACTGGGTCTGGCCTGGCCTGGCCTGGATGTTGTCACCGTTGGGTATCTCAAAACGATTTCAACGAACCACGCCAACGGATCTCTGTGCTACGAGTTCTGTTTCTTAATTTTTTTTCTGGTGATTAAACGTCTTCAAAAACAAGGTGAATTTTGAGTTTAAAGTGGAAGAGAAAGCTTTACAAGTTTACTATATTTTTTTAAGTGTTAATTATAGTTTAAAATATTGAAAAATAAAAACCACACCCAAAGATATGTTTAGTGAAGTGAAAGAGGGGTTTTTGGAACTCTTCAAGGGTTATTTTAATGTATTAATATTCATATTTTATTAATATTTTAATATAAAGTTTAAAAACCACACCTAAAGATATGTTTTGTGAAGTGAAATTAGGATTTTTAGAACTCAAATACTAAATATATTGAAAAGGAATTTCCAACTCTTTAAGGATTATTTTAATATATTTAGATAAAATATATATAACATTTATAATATATATATAAATTTATAAATATTTAATATATATAAATTTTTATATATTTTAAAAATTAAATGAAAAAAGGGCTTTAAGAAGCGAAATACTTCATATATTGAAAAGGAATTTCCAACTCTTCAAGGGTTATTTTAAAATATTTATAAAAATCTTTAAAAATCCTGTAAAAAAAACACCTCAAAGCAACCTATTTGTTAACTATTTGGTGTACTTGCTGGTCTCTTTGGGGTGTTGCAATTGCTCAAAAGGTATTAATCACCTTTAGTGCGTGGCTCTGATAAGGTTTATTTGCTAAACACACACACTGATAAGGCCAGCAGAGAGCAGAGAGCGGAGGAGCAGAGAGCGGAGGAGCAGAGAGCGGAGGAGCAGAGAGCGGAAAGCAGAGAGCGGAGGAGAAGCAGCAGGTGGTGTAAGAAAGGCAGCCACCAGGTTAAAACCAAACGAAAATTGTGATTAATAAAGGCGGCAGTTAGGCCAGGGTGAGCTTTTTGGTGGGTAGAAGATGAGTCAGGAAGGCAGGAAAGGGGATTACTAGCTGGAAATGACTCCTCAAAGCAGGAGAAGTCTACTCTCAACCCTATTTCATCTACAAAAATCCATTTATATCTATATTCCCTGCCCCTTTCAGCTTCCTAAACCATGGGCATTGGCTATGGCGCCGCCGAGGAGCAGCTGGAGAAGCAGATTGGCTGCGTCAAGTACACGCTCTTCTGCTTCAACATCGTTGCCTGGATGATAGCCACCGCCCTGTTCGCCCTCTCCGTCTGGCTGCGTGCCGAGCCCGGCTTCAACGACTGGCTACGCATCCTGGAGGCGCAATCCTTTTACATTGGCGTCTATGTACTCATTGGCATCAGCATCATCATGATGGCGGTGAGCTTCTTGGGCTGCCTGAGTGCCCTAATGGAGAACACCTTGGCCCTGTTCGTTTTTGTGGGCACACAAATCTTTGGCTTTATAGCCACGGTGGCGGGATCAGCGGTCCTCATGCAGTTCAGCACCATGAACTCCAGCCTGCAGCCACTGTTGAATGTGTCGCTGCGCGGGTTTGTGGCCACCTCGGAGTACACGTACTCCAACTATGTGCTGACCATGATCCAGGAGAATATCGGTTGCTGTGGAGCCAGCGGACCATGGGATTATCTTGATCTGCGCCAGCCATTGCCCAGCTCTTGTCGCGACACTGTCAGTGGGAATGCCTTCTTCAATGGCTGTGTAGATGAGCTGACCTGGTTTTTTGAGGGCAAAACCGGTTGGATTGTGGCCCTGGCCATGACCCTGGGCCTGCTGAATGTCATTTGTGCCGTGATGAGCTTTGTCCTGGTGCAGGCGGTCAAGAAGGAGGAGGAGCAGGCCAGTAACTATCGTCGCTAGAGTGGCGACGAGTGCCCAATTAGCCTAAGTTAGTGGATATACAGCAACGACAACAACAGACCCTACGATAGATGTAAGAGTTCCCACCCAATTCGAACAATAAGTACAATAAAGATTGCGATCCCCGCCCAAAACTGTGGTTTTTTTGTGAGCCTTCCAAGGCAGAGGGACAAACGGACACAAGGACTGCCTGCCAGCTGGATTGGTGATCAGGGAAGATGGCTTACGATGCATACTTAAGGCTACTGTTTCTACTCACAGGTTGCTCATGCTCAAGTCAATCTCCAGATCCAGATGCTCGTGATGATACTTAATGATGGGCACCCTGGCCTGCAGGATGCGACGCACATGGCACACGCCCGGCAGGAACAGATGCAGCATGTCTCCAAAGCACTCCATGTGCCGTTGCGTCTGCGATCGTCCATTGCTCAGGTTCTCCTTGGTATGGTACACCAGACGCGATGGCTCCTGGTGGCCGCCGCCACCGCCGCCCGTGTCATTGTCAAAACGCAGGATAAGATCCAGATCACAGCCCATCTTGCCAAAACCATTGACCGACGAGCCAAAGGGCAGGGCCTGGGCGGCAGGAAACATGCCAGAGATGGCCTGCTGCACCTGCAGGGCGGCCAGGAAGCGAAGACGCACGCCCAGCTCGTTCAGACGCGAGTGCTGGTGCAGCAGCTGCACCTGCTCCTCGATATCCCTGGCGCCGCGGAGCACAATTAGCAGGTGTTCCTGTTCCGCCGGCCGATTGCCATCGATTGAGAGCAGAGCGGTCGGTGCCGGTTGCGAAGCCAGCTTGGGGCCACGCCGCGCACCCGCTGCCGCCGCTGCCCGAAACCAGAGGAAGGGCGAGCGGACGGGCACACCGCTCAGGTCGCCATTGGTAACGCCGGCATCAATGGCGGCCGCTGCCTCGCCGGCCGTGGCATACTCCAGCAGGACATAGTGCAGCGCCTCGTCCTGCCGCACGCAATAGTGATGGGCGCCGAGAATGGAGCCGAACCGGCTGCAGTAGTTATACAACTCCGCGTACGACTTCTCGGAGCTCACCTGGACGACAATGCTGCGCTGGGCCTGTTGCTGGTGCTGGCCAATGAACTCCTCGTAGCTGGGCCGACCTGTGGACAGGACAGAGGTGTGGCACAGGTGAAGGGTCGCTGGAAGCGGCAGGAATCGCCAGCAACTCACCTGCAGTCCGGCTGGCGGCGGACGCCGGAGCGCTGCAGTACGTGCGCCACAGCTGATGGAGCTGATGGGTGCGTCGCACAAGGCTGTTCATGGCGGGTGCTGGCTCTCGGTCGCAGGTGGTACGCACCGCGCTCCTTGCAACTAAAATAATAATAATAATAATAATGTTCCGATAGTTTTCGGTGGCGCTGGCTTTGAGGTTACGGCGAGCTGTTATCGATGCAGCCCTGGCTTAGAAGCAGATCAATGCAAAATATGGGAATTAAATCGAAAAGGATTTCCAAGGACTCGGCCCAGAGGCCATGCTAGTGAAATTTCAGTGAGACTTCCATTCAGCAAAATATTCCTAGCATCAGCTATTCGTATTTCTAAGCCCCCATTAAAGACGATTATCGGCAGGCCCTGGCCTGGCTGTTATCGATTGCACCACAATGGGCGCCTAAATTTAAATTCTAGCCTTTGATTTTTACAAACTATATTTATTTACACTCTTTGAATTTATTACTTTATTATTGTTTTGTTAGTACACACTAGTTTTTAATTGGGCTACAATACAGTACAAAAAGGGGACGCGATCTCGATCTCTTCCGTTCCGTGTGTATTTCTTTGTATTGAATCAACATTTGAGGTGTATATAAATCAGATATATCGTATATATGTGGGGCTGATATACATTTGTATATATACAGTTGTTGGTTGCATATAGGGTGCGATTATTGCTATATACCTGCGCAGAGTTTCGAATTATAGAGGCCGATTCCACAGGGGTAAATGTTTATTTATGCTGATTTTTTAACTATTAAATAATAATTAAAGCTGAAACCTAGATATATTTTAAATAAAATTGGTTTCAAGTATACAAAATTTGGCTTTATAAATTGCAAGACTTGAAACTATAGAAAATTTTAGATATTTTCCATTAAATATATATTTAACATTTTTATTTAAGATATATTAAAAAGAAAAAAAACTAAAAATAGATATTTTTATTAAAAATTAAAAATTGTATGTTATTAAAAAATCAAAAACAAATATTATAAAGATAAAGAAAGATTATTTTTGATTTATTTGTAGCTCAAAAATAATGATTTTGTGGTGATTTAAATTATTTTAATCAAAATTAATAAATATCAATGATTTTTATAATATTACAGAATTTTAATCATTATTAACGATACAAAAACAATACAAATCAATGTGAAATCATTAAATTAAAAAAAAATAAATAATTGTAACATTGAAATCGCACTAATAATTTAATTTATTTTGTGTTTTTTTTTTTTTTTGGGGAAAAATATCGTTATAGTGATATTTTGATATAGTATCAACATCCCCACTAGTACATCAGGGTTACACAACTTAGACTAAGGTTACGTGTTAACAATTTCATTGGATTTGTGTGCTTCTCTGTGTGTGTTGTGTGTTGAGTGTGTGCTCATCTTAAATGCAAAGGCGCCAAAAAATCATCGATTTCTGATTTTCATTTCTTACTTTTTGCTTAATCTTTTCTTTTTTGTTTTTTTGGTTCACTTATTATCTCAGTATCACATGGAAACATACAAATATCCCATATTTAGCAACAATTTACACAGACTCTCTTTCTACTATTAAAAAAAAGGAACAACACAAGCAAAGAACCCAAGTTAAAGTTAAAATAGATACGTGAGCTGCTGCTGTGCTAGGTTGTGCGGTAGGTGTTGTGTGTGTGTGTGTGTAAGTGTAGGCGGACGGGGGGCGGTGGTAAATGCCGGAACTTGGACAAGCAACTGCGGTGGAAATGATAGAGAACCTAGATTTTGCAACTCCTGCTTTATCTCTTCCACATTTATCACTCTTTCTAATCAAATCAAAAGTCTCGTTATCTTCAGTTTAAAAATCAATTAAGGGAAAATCCAAGGCATTCAAATGAGTCACAGGACCGCAGCTGCTGTTGCCATATCCTTTAGCTTACAGTTATAGATATACAAAACATACAATATCGAATATTATATATAGTTTTAGTTTTAGTTTTTGTTTTAGTTGTAGTTTCACTTGCTCTTGCTTAGCCCAAAGCTTATATTAAGTTATTGCAGACGCTGGTTACCCCTTTAGATATCATCAATGAGTCGTCCCTCGATGACCGACGAGTGATGATAGTTGGGACGCGGCCGGAAGTCCTCGTTCTGCTCGTTCAGCTGCGTGGGCGACAGATCCACGCCGGGGCAGGAGGGCGTTACCACAATTTGCTCGTACTCGTGCATGCGTTTGCTGCCAAAGAGAGCGAGATGAACTGATGGTGTTCCCTTTCCAAATTCAAATCAAGACCCCGACTCACCCAAAGCACCGAAAAACAATGCTCTTCAGCCAGGCAAAAAAGTTAAACTCGGCTGTGAGGCCGGGTTTCACGGCCGGATTGGCAGTGCCCACATAGAACCAGACGACAAACACAACCAGGAAGCAGGTGAGGGCATAGTACCAGTTGACCAGCAGCATAACCAGCAGCTTGGTGAAGGCCTTCGAGGAGAAGAGCTCATTAGAAAACCCAGTTTTCTGCTACCAAACTCGAGAACTCACCCCCAGAAGCGAGGCCCAGCGATTGCAGTAGCCTGAATACCAGTTTTTCGTCTTGGAATGAATTGGCGGACGTATGGGGGCAATGGGTTCCGCTTCCGCTTCCGCTACCGTGTCATTGTCCCCGCCAGTGCCCTGCTCCTGCTGCTCCTGCTGATCCACGGTAACCTGACTGGAGGTACTGGGTCCTTCCGTCCTATTGAACTCCAGCGGCACTGCCTGATGCATGGGCGAATTCTGCGGACTCTGCAGATTCTTGTGACGCACACGGTCGGGGAAGAGCAAATCCAGGTCATTGCCCCCATCGGAGACACTGCCATAGCGACGCGTCTCATAGCTGGGACTCGAGGCTTGGATGCGGAAGCGCTCCTCGCGCTGCTCCTGAATGTCAAAGGTCTGGGCCAGGGCAAAGTAGGCATAGTCGATGCAGGCGTAGGTCAGCAGGAAGGGCATGGTGACAATGGGGGCCAGGAAGTTGATGTCGCCCACAATGATGAAGGTGACGGTGACCAAAGCCACAATGGCCATGGCATACAAAGGCACTTTGTTGGGTCCACGCTGGTGAAGATTGGCAAAGAGATATCAAGGATTGTAAAAGTTGTAAAAATAGAAAAACTTACCCCCTTGCCAAGGACATCGATGCCGGGTATGACGCTCTCCTTGGCTATGCTCTGAAGCACGCGCGGTGTGCCGTACATGGCGCCCAGGCAGGAGGACATGCTGGAAACATAGATGCCTGCCAGCAGCAGGAAATGCACCGCCGACACCTTGACAGAGATCATAAAGTCCGTGTACAAAATAGGACGCTGACAGGTGGCGCCCAAAAACAAGACAAACACCAGGTAAAGGAAGGTCCTAGAGAAAACAGAAAAATGTAAATAGAATGCCACTTTCTACGCCCAAAAGCCCCTCCTTACGAAGTGCCAAATGCAGCCAAGGTGCCATTGGGTATGTCCGTGGATGGAGCACGCAAATCTCCGCTCATATTGATGCCCGACAGCACACCAGTGACGGTGGGAAAGAACACACCAAAGACACGGAACCACGAATACCCGTCTTCATATTTTGGCCACAGATTCTCCACAAAGTTACCAGTTACCCAGCCATCCACGCCGTGTTCTTCAAAAGGAAACCAAGACAAAAGAAGTGAGTCAACTCCTCGGATTCCCCTCATCCAAGCAAACACTCACTACTATCCTCGGTGATGAAGCTGCCCACCATAAAGTCCAGCGCCGAGATAAGCAGGATCATCAGCAGTATAAACTGCAGCTTAATCACCCACTTGACGCCGGCCACATTGATGCAGCCCAGAAGCAGGACAGCCGCCGTGGCAAAGCCCCTGATGGCCCACTTGTTGCCCTCGAGACCCACCAAGCCAGCCATGGACTCACCGAAACCCATGACATTCAAAGCACAGCCTACCGCCTGGCCAAAACAATACAGCAAGCCCAGGGCGCCGCCGAAACGGGAGCCCAGGGTGTGGGCAATCAGGAAGTAGACGCCGCCGCTCTCCACGCGACACCGCTCGCAGATACCAATGGCGGACAGGACACTGACCAAGGCAATTACCACCGTGCAGAAAATAATCAGCACGGCATTGAGGATGCCCGCCTGGGCCACAATCCAGCCGGAGCGGAGGAACACAATGACGCCGAACACGTTGATCAGGCAGGAGGTGAAGACCCCATCCCAGGTGCCAAAGAGCACCGGTTGCGAGATGAAGAAGTTCGAGCGCCACCTGTTGAGGGATGGGATGGGGGATGTTATCTGGGTAATCCTCGTGGACTGGTTACTGTTTCTTCCTTACCAAGGCTTGTCGCCCTGCTCGCCGGCAAAGATCTCATTAGCTCCGGAGGCATGATGACCACCGGCCGCATATGTATACTCATTGCCCAGGTCCACGAAGCCGCCGGTATTGTTGTTGGTCCTCTGGCGGAAACTGGCCACCGCCACCTCACCATCGTCGTCGTCGCCGCCGAGGCCGAAGCGTTGCCAGTCCACGGTGCGTCGGTTACCGTTATGGCCATCAGCAGCAGCAGCGCCGCTATTACTCATCTTGGTTTCTCCGCTTGTTCCGCTTTCCCCCGCCGTTCGTTCCGGCGTTCTCTGCAATCTTCGTTGCTTTTTGTTGGTACTTTTCCTAGGTTCTCCTCGCTTGCGTGGGGTTATCTACGCGTCTATTCCGGCGTAATCGCGGCAATTAACTGATTGGTGATTTGGTTTCTATTGGCGTTCCTATGTATTTCTGCACCCACAACCACACATCCATCCACGCAGGCAGGCGGAGTGTCGGGCAGACGGGCAGTCAGTTGGGCAGGAGTTGGCCTCAGGCGGGCCTCTGGCTTACTGGCTGCTGGAGCTGGGCATTGTTGTGGTCGGGCAGCATTCGGTTGTGTCGGTAAATGTGTAAAATGTCAATAAAAACACTTTCTCATTTGTAAACGAATAAGCAAGTCGTCATCGATAACGATAGACGATGACGATGAGGAGGCGATAGGCGATGATCGGCCAGGTTGCCAGATTGATTATGCGGTATATTAGAATTTCATATTATTTTTATTTATTAATTTATTGTAAAGTATTATAATTTAAAGCTATTAATTATAATAAAAGTAGTTTGAATATGAATTAAATAGAGGTAAAGTTTTAATATTTTTTCAACAATCACTGCTCTCTCTCTCTCTCTCTCTCAACAAGGTGGCAACGCCGTGCAGCCACTGCCTCGCACGTGTTGTTGACGTTCTCTTTTCGTTGCGTGCGTTTTGCTGCTACATAAAATGGCCAAAACAAAAGGGAAAAAGTCGGAAAAGTCGGGCAAGAAGGCCAACAAGGAGAAGGTGAAACCCACCACCTCGTCGCAAGCCGACAAAGCCTCCAAAGTCGTCACCGCCGGCAACAACACTCCAGAGGAGAACGGAATCTGGCGGGATGCCCGCTTTCAGCATTTGCTGGCCGATCCCCGGTTCCGGGGTGTGCCCAAGGTGCAGCGCAAGGTGAAGATCGACAAGCGGTTCCAGGGCATGTTCACCGACGACAAGTTCAAGGTCAAGTACACGGTGGACAAGTACGGCCGCCCGGTGAATAAGAGCAATGCCGAGGATCTACGCAAGTTCTATGAGCTGGATGAGAACGATAGCGACAGCGACGAGGAGGAACTGAAAGAGAAGGAGAAAGCGGAGGCATCCGACGAGGAGCAGCAGGAGCGACGCGCCGAAGAGCTGGCCATAGCCAATTTGCAGGGAAACGACGCCCTTGAAGACAGCGATGACGACTCTGATCTCCCCCAAAATCTGCGCGAGCGCTTGACCAACCCGGACGTGGACTATGCCCGCGGCGAAGGCCGCCTCATGACAGACTCCTCCTCAGACGAGGATAGCGCCGCTGAAGAGGAGGACGAGGGCCCCGAGCTCCAGATTGATCATGTGTGGGGCGAGCTGGACAACGATGCCGAAAGCACCGAGGAGAGCACACGCCGCCTGGCCGTCTGCAACATGGATTGGGATCGCATTCGTGCCGAGGATCTTATGGTCATGCTGAGCTCATTCCTGCCGCCCGGCGGCAGTATTCTCAGCGTTAAGATCTATCCCTCGGAGTTTGGCAAGGCGCGCATGGCCGAGGAGGAGGTGCATGGGCCCAAGGAGCTGGTGGAACGACGCGAGGAGCCTTCCGACGACTCCGATGAGGAGGAGCTGGTGCGCGAGCAGGACAGCGACGCGGAGGAGGGCGACGACTATCACATGGAGAAGCTGCGCCAATACCAACTGAATCGCCTGAGATACTACTACGCCGTGGTGGAGTGCGACACCGTGGCCACGGCCGACAAGGTGTACCAGGAGTGCGATGGCATCGAGTACGAGAGCTCCGCCACACGCGTCGACCTGCGGTTTATTCCAGACGATACCAGCTTTGAGGAGGACACGCCTACCGACGAGTGCCACGAACTGCCCGATGCCAGTAGCTACAAGCCCCGCCAGTTTACCACCACGGCCCTGCAGCAGGCCAAGGTGGATCTGACCTGGGACGAGATGGCGCTGGACAGGCGGGAGCTGGGCGACAAGCTATCCAGCGGCCAGGTGGACAAGCTAACAGACAAGGAGCTGCGCCAGATAGTGGCCTACAGCAGCGAAGAGGAGTCTGAGGAGGAGGAACAGGAGGAGGAGGAGGATAAAGAGCAGGAAGGGCAGGAACAGAAGCCTGCAAAGCCCAAGAAGCCTAGCAAACAGGAACGCATTGCCAACTACAAGAACCTGCTGGCCGAAATTCTGCAAAAGGAGAAGCAGGAGAAGGAGCAAAAGTACGAAATGGAAATGTCCTGGAATGTCACGGATGACACGCCAGGGCAAGAGCAGGAGAAGGAGCAACAGCAGCCCCCCGCCGAACTGACGCCCATCGAGAAGGTGCTGCAGAAGCGCAGCGAGAAGAACAAGCTGCGCAAGGAGCAGCGCCGCCAAAAGCAGCTGGAAGCCAAGGGCGGTGACCCCGACGACAACGACAGTGATGCCTCCCTGGTGCCCGATGGCATTGACCTAAACGATGCCTACTTTGCCGAGGAGTTTGCCAACGGCGACTATGCTCCGCCCAAGACGAAGCAGCAAAAGAAGAAGGCCAAGTCAAAGGGCAAGGGCAAGGTCAACGGCGAGGAGGACGAGGAGCAAAGGCAGCAGGAGAGGGAGCTGGAGCTGCTGCTGGACGATGGCGATGGGCGCGATGAGAAGCAGCACTTCAGCCTGAGCAAGATCCTCAAGCAGGAGGAGCTGGAGCAGTCGGCCAGTGGCTCCAAGCGCAAGCGTCGCCAGCAACTGAAGAAATCAAAGAGCAAGCAATTGGAGGCCACGGAGAAGCTCGACGACGACTTCCAGGTGAATGTGGAGGATGCCCGCTTCAAGGCCGTCTACAAGTCGCACGAGTTCAACATCGATCCCACCCACTCCCACTACAAGGCCACCAAGGGCATGCAGCGGATCATCGGCGAGAAGCTGAAGCGGCGCCAGGAGCAGGTCGAAGACGGCGGCGACGAGGAGCCAGCGTCGGCGGCGGCCCCAAAGCGCAGCAAGCAGCAGCTGGAGCAGAACGCCCTGGTCAAGAGCCTCAAGCGAAAGATCCAGCAGCAGGAGCAGCGGGGCCAGAAGCTTTAGGGGATGTACAGACTAGAAATTAAAGGTTAATCTTATGCCACTTTTCCAGACTTTTCTTTGGATTGATCTTATAGTTTATTGCTTATCCTAAAATGGCTTCTTATAGCTTCCAAGGGGGGCACCTGCTCCTCCCTCCTAGTATCTGTAGTCGAAGTACTGCCTGTACAGCGCCGCTGTGATCCCGGCATCCACATGGTAAAGATCCGGCAGGCAGATGCGACGCTTCGGCTCGTAGACGATCATCAGCTCGCAGATGCGCGCCCACACGGGCTCGTAGAGTCGCCGGATGAGCTGGCAGTCGAGCTTGGGACGGACCAGAGCCTGGATAACGGCCTGAAGCTGGGTAGGAGTGGCAGAGGCGCCGCCACCCGTCTCCAGGAGCGCTGTGAACGGGCTCCTGCCCAGGCACAACTCGTAGAGGACCAAGCCCAGTGACCATATATCCGATTTGAAGTCCACCTTGCCCTGGCTGGACATCGCCTCCGGCGCCATGTACAACGGCGTGCCCATGCCCGCCTGCAGCTGTGTGCTGGGCGCATGGACATTAGAGATGCCAAAGTCGGCGATCTTGACCCGGTCGTTGGCATCCAGCAGCATATTCTCCGGCTTGATGTCCCGATGGATGACGCACCGGATGTGCAGGTACTCCAGGCCCACGACCATGTCACAGAAATACCGCAACAGGCGCTTCTGCGGCACGCCACCAGTTGATCCTCCCCTGGGCAGGCGCTGGATCACGTCCCGCAAGGTGCCATTGGGCAAATACTCCATGACAATGTTGACGGTGCCGGCGTGGTTAAAGGAGCGCAGGAACTGGACGATGTAAGGGTGACGAAGCTGCGATATAATGTACACCTCCTCCATGATTGGACGCAGCTCGGTCTTGGGATTGCGCACAATGATCCGTTTGACGCAGACATTACGGGTTTCGCCTTCGGCGTTGCGCTGCTGGCAGAGAAACACCCGACCGAAGGTGCCCTGGCCCAGCACACGCACTGCCCGCAGCTTGGAGTCGCCCAAATCCATGACAAGGTGAGTTTCTTTTCGGTTATGGTTATTTAATTTGTGCTTTGGCGCAACCTGATTCGGTTTTCACCTTCAACTCTGCGCAGGCGCGCCAATTATCGATTAAGGAATAGAATCAGGACATCGATAGTCGATACATTACAGAACTTAAAAATCGTTGCAGCTCCTGGAAAAATTAACTGATGATTTCTCTTTAAATAATCCATTTTAACAACCTCTAAAAATTGTTAATAATTTTATTTAAAGAATATAAATTGATTTAATAATCTTTTGGCTAAATTTTGGGACAGTTTTGTAGCTTAAATCTTTTTGATTTTGTTATTTGCCACACATTTAACATTATTGTGCAACTTGACACTTTCAAAATGTAGCTATCTATCTCAATTTCTTAACAAGTTTATTATTATAATCATTAAAACAAATTTATTAAGCGGAAAATGCCAATTGGAAAAAGTTGCGCAACTGGGCAGCACTGGAGCTGTCAGAATCGATCGATTACTCCGCTTATCGATTGTTATCCTTGAACCAGTTTTTAAATTTGAATTTTTTTTTGAATTTTCCTCATTGGGTAAGCGGGCGCTTCCTGCTAATTGCGCAGTTATATAATATTTATAATTAAAAACTCCACGCGAGACAAAGGCGACATGAGCACGCCGGCCAGCATGTCGGACATGGCCAAATATTGAAATATCCATGTGGATGCAGTGCCACGACGGGCGGCTTTATGGCTGTTATGCAAATTGTGGGGCCGGGAAAAGCAGTTTACTTTTACTTTTCCAAATCGATTATATGTGCACACACTCAGAAAGAGAGAGAGAGAGGAGACAGAGAGAGAGAGAGACAGGGAGCCCAGAGCACACTAACCCAATAAATCGGTGGCTTTAAGCAATTTTTGAATGATTTTTCGGGGCTTTTCCGCGAGCTTCCCAAGTCGGACGTTCACCTGGCTGGCAAAAATGCCTGGCCTGTTGTTACCTAATAGTGTTGTGCTGCATTTTAATTGCTCCATTGCCTTGCCTTGCCTCAAAATGGGATCAACACCAGACGCACCTTTCACCCATGTTGCCACAACGCATCGACGGCGCGGCAAGGCCCTTCACTCTCAATCTCAATCTCAAATCCATCATTTATCATCGATTAGCGACAGTGACAAATTGGAAAGCAATTTCAGAAATGCGGAAGCCAGTCTATCGTTCTAAATTAGCCAGGATCACTATCGATAGCGATAACTAAGTAACGGATTTTCTGCAATTTAAATGAGAGTGGGTATGAGTAAATGGTGATAATAAGAGTTTTTAATTTCAAAATATATATGTTTATCATTTTAATATGTTTACAAATTAATAAATAATACTAAAAGAATCAATAATGGAATGAAAATATTAGCGCTGAACCAATATTTATAACTTTTAGATGGTGAAAAGGATTTCGCGGTTTCTGGACTCAATATTGTCTATTTGTTTTGTTTAGTTTTGTTTGTTTTAAAGTTTTTGGTTTGTTTTGCTTTTGTGTCTTTGCCTAATTGCCTTGGACTTGCATGGAAGCGGCGACTGGTTTGGCGTTGTTTTTGGGTGGTTAACCCGTTGATTGGCAACGGGTTTTCTCCTGGCGGGCGCAGGAAACTGGCCTTAGGCCTTAGGCCTCCGATGACGGTGACGGCCACATGTACGTATACGTAATCTTGGCTTTAATTGAACCACTAACGCACGCATATGCATCGGGAATCGAATTTCCCAAACAATTGTGGCAGCGGCCATAAATTACCAAGCAGCGGCTGCGGCGGCGCCTCGACTTTGACTTGAAGTTCGTTGCCGTTCCATTCCATCGAATGATTGCATGTTGTTGTTGTTGTGTGTTGCACATTTCTCGTTTCACCAGAGCTCTCTCAGTTTGGGTATAAATCGAATCTAGTACCGAACGTCAAGCCACATTCAGCCAGCAACCGTCAAGGAGAGCGCCTCGCGTAACGAATTCTTCGACAAAAAAAATAAAACCGATTATTATTTTTTTAAGTGTTTACTGTGGATTTAACAGTGTTTTAAAAATAAAAACAAAGCAACAAGCAACCAAAAGACATGCTGAAATTCATTGTAAGCAGAGCACAATTGGAATATATATTTAAATCGGGATAAAAAACAAACAAGGATGTGTTTGGAGTTTAAGGATTCTTAACCACATAAAATGTGTGAAATGTAGAAAATATATAGAGTTTTCCTGAATTTAAATATTCAGTTTAAAGCTAAACAAAAAAGGATAACTTTCCTTAAAGGAAATCATCACCTTTTTAAGGCTACAGATTAAAGTGATTTTGTGAATTTACAAAACTCATTTTCTAGTTTTTCTAGTGAACTTTTTGCTTATTAAATTTAAAGAAATATCCCTAATGTCCCTATTTGCATCCTTTGAATCCAAACCTCAACTCAATATCTTAAATAAATCTTGCAGCTTCCCTGTTTGATCCTAGTGGCCGCCAGCGCAGCGCTCAAGATCCACGATTACCACCACCATCACCAGGAGCATGATGAGTACGAACACCACCATGATGAACACCATCAGGAGCCCGAGCACGAGGAAACGGAGCTGCACCACGAGGTGGACCACAAGCATGCCACTTCGCATCAGAGCGTCAAGTTCCATCATTACCATGCCGTGCCCGTCTACATTAAGAAGGAGGATCAGCATCTGGTGAAGAAGCCCATCGAGATTGGCGGCACCAAGCAGAAGCTGAAGATCCTGCATCCCAAGACCGAGCACAATCACAACCACGGCCTGGTCCTGGAGAATCACAGCGAATCGCATCTGCACGAGCACGGTCACTACGAGGAGCCGGTTCACCACGAGGAGCACTATGAGCACTATTCGCACCACCATGAGTGAGGGTCTGGATCGCCCCAGGATCTGGAATCTGACTGCCAAATGAGTTTTCGTAGGGTTTTCGTTAGCGTCTAAGGTTTTCCACAACTTTAATTTTAATGTTTCTGCTGTTAATAAAGCGTTCACCTAGAGTATTATTCAAATCAAGATTTTTTTCTTCTAAAAAATATATAAAAATTTGTATTACTAGTTTCAAAATAGCAGCGCGTGATTGTAAGAATCGATAATCGATAGGCGTTCGACTGGGCTGTCTGGTGTGACCAGACCATGCTCCATAACGCCACGGTCACACTGCTGGCGAAATCAACACGGATTTCGCACATTATTTTTGTTTTTGTGGAAAAGGAAACACGGCGGCATGGGCGATGTGGACAAGTGGATCGAGACGGTGAAGGAGTGCAAGTACCTGCCGGAGAATGAGCTGAAGAATCTCTGCGAGATGGTGTGCGACATACTGCTGGAGGAGACAAACATACTGCCCGTGAGCACGCCAGTCACCGTGTGCGGCGATATCCATGGCCAGGTGAGTGGATCTTCCAGGGGAATATGCCAGCATTTATAACCCACACCCACTGTTTCCCCTGCAGTTCTACGACCTGGAGCAGCTGTTCCGGACAGGCGGCCAGGTGCCGGACACAAACTACATATTTATGGGCGACTTTGTGGACCGTGGCTACTACTCGCTGGAAACGTTCACCCGCCTGCTGACCCTCAAGGCGCGCTACCCCAGCCGGATAACCCTGCTGCGCGGCAACCACGAGACCCGTCAGATCACCAAGGTCTATGGCTTCTTTGACGAGTGCTTCAGCAAATACGGCAATGCCAATGGCTGGAAGTACTGCTGCAAGGTCTTTGATCTGCTCACCATAGCCGCCGTATGTCCTGCTGCCTGTAATCTATTGCTATTTACTAACCCACGCGCCTCCACAGATCATCGACGAGGAGGTTCTGTGCGTTCACGGCGGCCTCAGCCCCGAGATCATCACCCTGGATCAGATCCGGACCATCGAACGGAACGGTGAGATTCCCTACAAGGGGGCCTTCTGCGATCTAGTCTGGTCCGATCCGGAGGATATGGAGTACTGGGGCCAGAGTCCACGCGGCGCCGGTTGGCTGTTTGGTCACAATGTCACCAAGGACTTTATGACGATCAATAACCTGGATTTGATCTGTCGGGCCCATCAGCTGGTCAACGAGGGCATCAAGTATATGTTCGAGGGCAAGCTGGTGACCGTGTGGTCGGCGCCCAACTACTGCTATCGCTGCGGCAACGTGGCGGCGATCCTCAGCTTTGAGACGGCGCAGCAGCGGCAGACGAAGATCTTCATGGCTGTGCCGGATGCGGAGCGGGTGATACCCAAGCAGAACACGACGCCGTACTTCCTCTAAGTCGATGTGATTCGAAGCAAACCAAACCAAACCGATCCGATCCGCCCACCATTCTGGGGAGATTATAGATGTACGCTTCTTGGAACCCAAGCGGAGGGCAGCCTTCGATTCTGGGCCAACTGTCTACCCAAACCGCCTTTATCGCCGCCTTTACCCCGCCCCCAGACACTCCCAACACGCACACACAACTACAATATGCGCTCCTATTTTTTTAATGCAAAAACATATCTATTTCGTAAGGTCAAAAGTTAATCCTATTAAGTGTAACAAAGATTCAAGTTTTGTGTTTCTTTTTTTATTAGAATTTAAATTTAAAACAAGTATTGTATTTACTGTTTCAAGCAAGCGCCACATATATTTGTATATATGTATTTTGTATTCCAAAAATTTATTTATTTCCGTGCGAAAAACAACAAGAATTGTATACATTTTGTATTAAATAGCAAGGAATGCTTTTTGAAGAGCTCGGAGAAGGTGGCACAGCCCTGGAATAGGAATATTAAAAAAAAACCAACTGTGTGATTCCGATTAAAACATTTTGAAAAATAAACAAGCAAATAGGACTCTTTTTTTTTAGGGCGGTTTGTTTATAAAAAGGGTCTTTTTTTAAATTAATATTTCCCTTTAAATGAAAACTGAATAATAAAAATAAAAGAAAAATAATAATAAAAGAGGAACCCATCACTCGGAAAAAATATTATTTTATATTGTAAAATCAGTTTTTTTTATATTAAAAATTTTTTTATAATTTTCTAAATTTTGAACAGCTAAAAAATTGTATAACTCCGCCAAAAAAGCATTAATTTTAAATCGGAAAACTGTTTTGTGTCAGTTCTTATGAGGCTAACAAATTTGCATACTTTATTTGAAATTTAAAAAAATTAAAATTTTTCATCAAAATCTGAGAATTTTAATGATGTAACCCCTTATCAAATTTTCTAAAAATGGCTCAAAACTAGTTTTCCTCCGGACTTCGCTTAAACGATTCGTATTTTAATGCTGATCAAGAATATATATGGTTTATGGGGTTGGAAATGACTCCTTCACCTAGAAAAATATTATTTTGTATTATAAAATCTGATTTTTTATATTAAAAAATCCCATAACTCGGCCATAAATGCCTTAATTTGCATTCGGAAAGCGGTGTTATGTTAGTTTTTATGAGGTTAATAAATCTGCATACTTAGTTAAAAAAAAAATTTAGGTCAAAAATTGCAAATTTTAATGATGTAACCCCTTATCACATTTCGCAAAAATGCCTCAAAATTAGTTTTCCTCCGGACTTGGCTTAAACGATTCGTTTTTTAATGCTGATCAAGAATATATATGGTTTATAGGGTCGGAAATGATTCCTTCACTCAGGAAAAATATTATTTTATATTGTAAAATCCATTTTTTATATGAATTTTTTTTTTTATAATTACCTGCATTTTTTTCTTAATTTTTTAAAAGTTAAAAATTTCATAACTCGGCCGAAAATGTATTAATTTTAAATCGGAAAATTGTTCCTTGTTAGTTTTTGTGAACTAAATAAATCTGCATACAGTATTTAAAATTAAAATTTTATTAAATTGTTGAAAATATGAACAATGTAACCCCTTAGAAAATTAAAAAAAAAATGACTAAATAATTTCTTCCTCTGGATATGTCTAAAAAGATTCACCGCTTGAGCTATAGAGTCGGAAATGTTTGGTAAAAATAATAAAACAAAGTAAATTATAATTTAATTAACCATTTATTGTTTTACATTTTGTTGATGTTGTACAAGATTATCGAAATTATCGACCTATCGATGTTCCTCCACCTCTAGCCCTGCCATCACAATTGTTTGGGCCGCAGAGTTGGCAGCACCACAGACAATGGACAAGGACAGGGAGATGCATGACGCTCTCCGGCGGAGGCTTCTAGACGCCGAATCTGCGGCCCAGCAGGATGAGGCAACGCGCCAACGGCACCTGCAGCTGCTCCAGGATCTGTGGCAGCCGAAGGGCACACCAGTGGGCGTGCCGAGCGAGCGGCTGCGGCAGCTGTTCGAGGAGGTGCGAGCGAGAGGGGACCACGACCTGTTGCGGAACTGGCAGCTGTGGCTAAGCGAGCTGATCCTGGCCAGGCGAGTGATCCTGGTGCGGTCACACCTGCTGGCGGAGTGGCTGATGGGCGGCGGGCAGCGGGAGAAGCTGGCGGAGGAACTGAATCTGCTGTTGTCGCTGCTGAAAACGCTGCCCAAGGAACACCTGCCCGGCTACTGGTCAGCATTGGCCATGTTGCCCCATCCCAAGGATGTGAAAGCAGCTCTGCTCCTCATCAAGTGCCAGGAGGCAGTGCTGGCCGACTTGGAGCAGGCCGAGGAGGCGGAGGACAGTGCCAGCAGTCGAAATGCTGCCGATTCTCTCGTTCAATGCCACTTCGATGGCCGCTGGCTGGAGGCCAGGGAGCAGGAGCAGCTTCCCCTAATAGTGGGGCACAGCCTGCAGCTGCTCCAGAAGCTGGTGGCCAGGCAGCCGGACTATGCGGTCCAGCATGTGCCCGAGCTGATGGGCCTAGTCCAGTGTTACGTGCAATACGGAGCGGAAGGTGAGGCGCCAGCCAAGCTGCAGCTGCCGCGGAAGGTGCAGCCTGCCCAGCAATCCGCCGCCTATGGCCACGAGGAGGAGCCCCACGACTCGGAGCAGCAGAACGCCGCCGGCAGCAAGGCCCGTTCGGGCGGACGCAAGAACAAGGTGCGGAAGATGAGATCCCTGGCCAAGCAGCGAAACCAAAGCAACAACAACCAGGTCAGCGACTCTCTGCTGGCGGAGAGTGCTCCCCGGGACCGCCTGCTGCTGATGGGCAACCAGGACTACGGCTGTCTCACCGGCGACTCCGGCGAGAACTGTCCCCCCTCCGATTCGGATCAGCTGCCGGGACCCAAGCAGCTCCGTCAGCTGCAGGCCAAGGTGCGGATCTCGGCGCTGCAACTGCTGGGATCTCTGGCCAGGCAGCTGCCCCGCCGTACGCTCTACGGCTACTGGCACGTCCTCTTTCCCAGCGCCGACTCTGGCGGCGGTGGCCACCTGCTGCTCGTGGGCCAAACGGACGGTAACTCCCGCTGCCGGGCGCTGGCCCTGCAGCTGGCCGCCCAGCTGCTGTACGGATCCAAGGGCTACCTGAGCCAGGCCTGCTCCCGGGGCCCCAGCAACTACACGCCCTTCGCCGTGAGCCTGGCCAGCTGCGTCCTCTCGGCCTATCGCTCGCTGTGCTCCATTCTGGAGCGCGAATATGCGCCGCCGGTGCTCACCCAGTGCCTCAAGTGCCTGGCCGTGCTCGTGCAGGCCACACCCTTCGAGCAGCTGGAGATGGGCTTCGTCTACGAGTTTGTGGGCCACGTGAAGAAGCTGATCAAGAGCGCGGACTCGCCGGTGGCCGTGTCGGCCTTGCTGGTGATGGAAATGCTGGTGGCCACGCCGAAACTAACGCCAGAGATGGCCAGCGCCATAGGACTGGCTCCCAGCCAGCGGGATCTCAAGCTGGAGGAGCTGCAGTCGGACTTTCACGAGCTCTGCGATTCGGATGCGGAGTTGGAACTGGAGGAGGAGGCGGAGCAGCAGCAGCAGGAGCAGCTGGCGCAGCACAGACCAGAGGCTAATCCCGTCCCGCTGAGTGCCCCGGCCATTCCCCGAAACTCCTGGCTGCTGCGGCAGGTCCTGAGGCAGCTGGAGAGCCTGGGCACGGGGCCACCGATGCGTGTGGAGTGCTTCCAGGTCCTGCTGGCCATGGCCACCCATGTGGGGTTACTCCGCGGCCATCAGGCCCGCTTGGCAAGGGTTTTGCTCGCCGGTTTGCAGGACATCACGGCTGATGTGAGACTGTACGCGGCCCGCTGCCTGGATTCCGTGGGCTACCAGCTGGGACGCCTGCTCCCAGACCCGCCAGAGCGGGAGATGCAGCTGTCCTTCTGGCTCAGCCTGCTGCCGGGCATCTATGGAGCCTACAATGACGCCGCCGGAGCCTCGCTGAAGTGCGCCCTCTGCGATGCCCTGTCCAACATGGGTGGCTTCAGCTTCGAGCGGCTGCCTCCTGGCCAGCGGAACGCTCTGCTGGCCTTCCTCAGCGGCTGTGCCAGCGACGATGGCGAGGAGCCGCTGGTCAGGGCCGCTGCTCTGCGGGCCTTGGCCGTCTACGTGCTGCATCCCAGCCTGAAGGCGGACCTGGTCTTTGTGGAGAATGCAGCGGAGCTGACGCTGCGCCTCATCAGCGATGGCCAGCTGGCGGTGAGGATCAAGACCGCCTGGGCCCTGGGCAACATCAGTGATGCCTTGATAGCAGCCATTCCCAACCATTCGGAGAGGATTTCCGAGGAGCTTCTCGGCCGCCTCATCCAGGCGGCCACGCAAAGCTGCGGGGATCACGACAAGGTCAAGGCCAATGCCGTCCGCTCCCTGGGCAATCTGCTCCAGATCCTGCAGCAGCAGCAGGCCACCGGGAATACCGAACCCATGCAGCTGGCCATGTCCAAGCTGCTGGACTGTGTGCGGTCCGCGGGCAGTGCCAAGGTCAAGTGGAACGCCTGCCATGCCATCGGGAATCTGGTCAAGCACAGGGCCTTCTTTGCCACCAGCCACCTGGCGGGCATCCTGTTTCCGGCCCTCAACCAGCTGGTGGTGCAGCATGCCAACTTCAAGGTGCGCATCAATGCCACTGGGGTGCTGCTGCAGGTGGAGCAGCGCCAGGACTTTGGTGTCCACTTTCCGCTGGTATGGCGCTCGCTGCTGGACGCCCTGGAGCGCTCCAATGCCCTGGACAACTACGAGGAGTACAACCACAGGGATGCGCTGCAGCAGCAGCTGTGCCTGGCCATGGCCCACCTGCTGGCGCTGGCCAAGGGCTCGGATATGCCGGCGTTGCGGGAGGCTCTGGAGGAGGATCGTCTGGACGAGGTGCGCGGCACCTGGCGAAGGGTGGCCTTCCGCGTGGTGCCGGAGCAGTCGGCGCCGCTCTTCACGTGCAGTCCGCTCCTGGAGCAGCGTCTGCAGGCGGATGCCACCACGGTGCCGCAGCAGCGTTCAGCCCTCTCCTTCATCGTGGCTACACTCCGGCTGGATCCGTAGGGGGAATAGCCTTAGCTTGTTTATATAGAAACCATTTATACGGAAATAAAATCACTTTTGTGGAAGATGTTTACGTTTTTCAATTACTCATTTGATGGGTTCCGCTAATGAACAAATTTTAGAATATTTTTTTTATATAAAAAATCAGTTTTTAGTTGAAGGAATCATTTCCGACCCCATAAACCATATATATTCTTGATCAGCATTAAAATACGAATCGTTTAAGCCATATTTGGAGGAAATCAAATTTTGAGCCATTTTTGCGAAATGTGATAAGGGGTTACATCATTAAAATTCTCAATTTTTGACCTAAATTTTTTTTTTTAACTAAGTATGCAGATTTATTAACCTCATAAAAACTAACATAACACCGCTTTCCGAATGCAAATTAAGGCATTTTTGGCAGAGTTATGATATTTTTTAAATAAAAAATGAGATTTTATAATACAAAATAATATTTTTTTAAGTGAAGGAGTCATTTCCGACCCCATAAACCATATATATTCTTGATCAGCATTAAAATACGAATCATTTAAGCCATATTTGGAGGAAATCAAATTTTGAGCCATTTTTGCGAAATGTGATAAGGGGGTTACATCATTAAAATTCTCAATTTTTGACCTAAATTTTTTTTTTTAACTAAGTATGCAGATTTATTAACCTCATAAAAACTAACATAACACCGCTTTCCGAATGCAAATTAAGGCATTTTTGGCAGAGTTATGATATTTTTTAAATAAAAAATGAGATTTTATAATACAAAATAATATTTTTTTAAGTGAAGGAGTCATTTCCGACCCCATAAACCATATATATTCTTGATCAGCATTAAAATACGAATCATTTAAGCCATATTTGGAGGAAATCAAATTTTGAGCCATTTTTGCGAAATGTGATAAGGGGTTACATCATTAAAATTCTCAATTTTTGACCTAAATTTTTTTTTTTAACTAAGTATGCAGATTTATTAACCTCATAAAAACTAACATAACACCGCTTTCCGAATGCAAATTAAGGCATTTTTGGCAGAGTTATGATATTTTTTAAATAAAAAATGAGATTTTATAATACAAAATAATATTTTTTTAAGTGAAGGAGTCATTTCCGACCCCATAAACCATATATATTCTTGATCAGCATTAAAATACGAATCGTTTAAGCCATGTTTGGAGGAAATCAAATTTTGAGCCATTTTTGCGAAATGTGATAAAATTCTCAATTTTTGACAGATTTATTAACCTCATAAAAACTAACATAACACCGCTTTCCGAATGCAAATTAAGGCATTTTTGGCAGAGTTATGATATTTTTTAAATAAAAAATCAGATTTTATAATACAAAATAATATTTTTCTAAGTGAAGGAATAATTTCCGACCCCATAAACCATATATATTCTTGATCAGCATTAAAATACGAATCGTTTAAGCCATGTTTGGAGGAAATCAAATTTTGAGCCATTTTTGCGAAATGTGATAAGGGGTTACATCATTAAAATTCTCAATTTTTGACCTAATTTTTTTTTTTAACTAAGTATGCAGATTTATTAACCTCATAAAAACTAACATAACACAGCTTTCCGAATGCAAATTAAGGCATTTTTGGCCGAGTTATAATATTTTTTAATATAAAAAATCAGATTTTATAATACAAAATAATATTTTTTTAAGTGAAGGAGTCATTTCCGACCCTACAAACCATATATATTCTTGATCAGCATGAAAAGACGAATCGTTTAAGCGAAGTCCGGAGGAAAACTAGTTTTGAGCCATTTTTAGAAAATTTGATAAGGGGTTACATCATTAAAATTCTCAGATTTTGATGAAAAATTTTAATTTTTTTTAAGAATGCAGATTAATTAAGCTTATAAAAACTAGCTCAGAACAGTTTTCCAAATTAAAATTAATGCATTTTTGGCTGAGTTATGAAATTTTTAAATTGTTAAAAATTAAAAAAAAAATGCAGGTAATTACTAAACAATTTTAATATAAAAAATTCGATTTTATAATGTAAAATAATAATTTTCTGGGTAAAAAAGGAGTCATTTCCGATTGAAATTCATACATTTTTGCCTTGGTTATGATAGAGTTCCATGTCGTCCTCCGTTCCAATTGCAAGTTTCAAGGGTAAACAAGCTTCGGCTTCCTTTTTTTTGGTAGCAAAATGAAGAGTAATCCACTCGCCTGAGCAAGAAACATCGTTGTATCCTTACAAATTCCACAATTAAAATTCTAGAAAAAAGATTCCCAAATGAAGAAAACGAATCTAAAATGAATTTAATTTTTAAAAAGTATATTTTGTATATATGCGTGTATATATAAATGTGTGGGTTTACTTTGACTTGTTAGGGATGTGTGTGTGTGTTTGTGTGTGTGTGTGGTTTTTATTTACTAAAATTCCCAGCAAGCATCTCGAATGGGGGTGCTCCTCCCCCAGCAACTGCTGGGTTTGTGGGTTGCCTTGCTGGTGGGGCCTAAGCTAACATGTCGAGCTAAAAAAAAATAATATAAAAACAATCATAAAAGAGTCGAGAGCGTGGGCCAAAAGGGTGTCTCCGCTGGCACAGGCTGTTTTTTTTTTTTTTTGTTTAGTTTAAGTTTTTTTGTTGTTTTTTGTTTTCAGGGTTTTCTGGTTTTCTTGCTTTTTCAATAAACTAAGTCTAAGCTGCCCCCTGTCTATGTATCGTGCTCCCCGCCCCCGCCTGATCCCAGCGAGCGCTTGGATTCCGTCACGCCATCGTCGCCAAAGCTGAGCATCCGCTTGCCGCCGCGCACCTTCTCGTTCATCAGTTGCAGGTCCTAGGGGCAGGAGATTGTTAAAAAGAGTCTATGCAAGAGTGGGAGCTCCTTACCTTGGCGGGACTGTGGTAGAACCTGTAGACCATCTGGTTGGGCGACTGCTGCAGCTGAATGTCGTTCTTGGGCATCTGGGTGACAAACAGCGAGTGGCTCTGTGTGACCTTCTTGGGCTGGGCAGCCCGCTCCTTGGGATGCGGCGACAAAAGCAGGTCCGTGGTGCGGCCACTCACATCCGGGGCCACATTCAGGTAATCGATGGCAAACTGCCGCATGATGGGCACATACACGTTGTTGTAAAAGTGGATGATGTCGCGCACCTTGGGCTCGCCGTTGTCGTAGGTGACGATGAAGACCTCGCGGTAGACGCTGTTGACCGCCTGCGGCTGGTTGCGATACGCCCGCATGATGTCACTAAACTTGGGCTCCTCCATTTTCTTGACCTGCAGGAAACCATAGCGTGAACTTGGATTCAAGACTCCTCCTCCTCTCACCCACCTTAATGTAGATATATATTGCACACATGATGATTTGGTCCAGGTGACGGTCCTTCATCAGGTCCGTGTCGTGGGTGATCGAGTGCTCAAAGATGTGCCAGATGCACTCGGACGCCTTCTCGCACAGGCCCAGCTCCAGGCATAGCTTCTGGATGCGCAGCCAGCCCAGCAGATAGACCTTGCGCAGGAAGATCTGCAGCGGGCCGGCAGTGCGATCCCGATTCACCACCAGCGAGGTGGCCAGCGGCGGCGGTGCCGAGGCAATCAAAAACCACACCAGCGAGCTATGCGACCAGGCCAAACGCTCCAGGCACGTCTCCTCGATGGCATTGAGGTGCTTGATCAGCGAACGATTCAGGCAGCCCTCGTGGGAGCCGTGCCGCACCACAATCTCAATGATCTTCTGGAACTCGAACGAACTGATGCCAAGGCACTCGAGCACCCAGGGGAACTTGAAGTCCGTTTTGTAGGCCTCCAGCACTAGCTCCACGCAGCAGGCCAGCAGCGTGATGTTGAAGATGTCCAGCGAGATCTTCTGCACCAGCATCCGCTTGAGATCGATGTCGGGCTTGTTCCGGATCTCCGCCTGCAGGATCTTGTCCAGCAGGTAGAAGTAGAAGGATTTGGCCAGCCGAAAGCGGCTCTTGGCCTCCGTCGAGGGGTATTTGGCGAGAAACTTTTGCTTAAGGTCCTCGATGATGGTCAGCAGCTTGGCAATCACCTCTTCGCCGGCTTGCCTGGGGTTTTTGAGCGGAAGAAAAAGGGAAAAGAGAGTCATTAACTAGGGGAAATCTCTTTAAAAGGGAAAGCTAACTACTTTTTCTTGGTTAAAAACAACTTTTCCACTCACTTGACAAACTCCGTGGGCTCCGTGATCCGCCCAAAGGCAATCAGCTGCTTCACATTGTTGGTGGCATTGCGGACGGGCTCGAATTTATCACCGGCCATGGCCGGCTGGGCGGGCAGGTCCTGCATGCGGGTAAGCGGCGTCACCGGCGGACGCAAAGCCTGGTCATTGAGGCCCGTGTGTTCGCCGGCATCGTAGGCGCTCAGGATGCGCTCGTCGAACTCGCCCACGCTCAGCACATACTGCTCGTAGCTGATGTTGAGCGACTTGAGGTTGCGCTCGAAGTTCTCGTTGGCCAGCAGGCCCAGCATGGAGTCCTTGCTGCCATAGATGGTCTGGGTTAAAGAGGAGAAACCAAGTTAGATGCCTGATGGAGTCATTTCAAGGGTCTCAAGACAACCCACCGAAGTCTGAAAGAAGCTCGACATGATTTCACGGAAGGTGGTGGCCTTCATGGCCTTGGCCTCGTCGGTCATGTCGCAAAAGTGGCCCAAGATGCAGCACTGCTTGTGGCGAAAGTCCAGCTCTGTCCAGCCGGGCGGCAGGCCCTCGAACTTGGGATTGATGAGATCGGTGCGCTTCTCGGCCAGCACATTGTTGTATATCAGATCGATGCAGCAGATCATCAGGTTGAAGGAGCTGACCAGGTCAACGGTGTTGCTGGGCTTCTGGTTCTTGGCGCAGAGGAACAGGCGCCAGCAGAAGTCGTCCAGCTTGAGGAAGGAGCACTTGCCATTGGCATGGCTCGAGTGCAGCGAGCTGTGTGTCAGTAGGGAGTCAGTGGTGGTCAGGATTAGCTCGATATACTCACGTGTACTTGGAGTGCTTCTTCTCGTTGGGCGGACACACAAAGATCAGGTCAAAGATGGTGCGGAAGCGCTTGTACAGCGTAAAGGTAATGCTGAACTTGCGGTCCAGGACCTCGATCTCGTTGACAAACTCCTGCGGCAGGTTGGCCATGTCGCACCACAGCTTGATCTTGGTTTTGAAGTCGTAGATGCTGCATCAGAGAGAGGGAGTAAGTAGAGCGGGCGCTGGAGCCAGACTCGAGGAGAGACCTACCTCATTTGGCAGCAGCGCAGCAGGTTGTTCAGGGAGACACAATTGCCCCGCACCACCGCATCCTGGCCAATGACTGTGGGCGTGCTGGATCTGCGGCAGGCGGCGTACAGAGCACAGCACAGCCAGTGCATGGACTCGCCCTGCAACGGGGCGTTGACGTTAACCTTAGCCGGGGGGAGAGCGCCTTGCACTCCACTTCACTTTTCACTTACCTCCAGGGAACACCGCTGCGACACCTTCAAGTACATCTCGAAGCCATCGATCTCCGTTTGACGGTCCATGTTGAGCTCGCGGCACAGGTTCGTGTACTTGGCCTTGGCCACCTCCTGGCTGTCATCTTGCGGCGCCGCAGAGCCGCTGACCACCTCAGCGCCCAGCTCCTGCGGCTCGCTGGCGGCCTCGCTGCCGCTCATAGTGCCTCTGTGCTGCTCCTGCTGCTGTTTCACTTGAACGCGGATACGGGGGAATACGAGACGAGGATCGGGGGTGGCACGGTACGGTACGGTACGGCACGGCACGGACTTTTCACGGCGCGAAGCTGGCCAGCTGGCAATCTGGCAAACGGAACGAATGGGCGAACGGAGATCGCCTTCCTGCGGTTTGGCTGCGGATGGGCTGCGCTTTCCGGCGTGGCTGCGTGTGTGCGCTGCGCTCTCTCCTCGGATCACGGGCATATAACTTTCGGCGCCGCACTGATTAATAAGTTGCCATATCTTGCCTCGCCATAGAAAAAGGCGGGAAAGCGGAGGGTTGCTGGGGCCATAGAATCTGGTCTATCGATATCGTGAGGCGTGACGTGAACTGAACCAATCGCGAGCAGGCTGGCTGCTATCGGTAAGCGATAGCCGGGTTATCGTGGCTGCCGATAGTCACGATGTTTAAATAAATAAATAAATTTTTTAAATAAAATAAACAATTCAAGAGAGTTTCTATTGTTGTTAACCTATGACTAAGGGCATATTTTATTTTAGTGCAAAAAAAAAAAAAAAAAATAATATATATTACAATTAATAATGGGCAGGGAAAAGTCGTGCGGGGGGAAGCCTCCTTGGGGAACTCCCAGTTCTCAGGTCTCCTCTCTTGGTTAGTGGAATCTCTGGCAGCTCCTCTGCTTGTTTACTCCCGCCAGTTGCCGATGATTTGGGAGGAGGGCACCAATTCGAAACGAGCGTTGGCCAGATGCGGCGGCAGACCAGTTCCGGGCCGGAAAAAGGGAGCTGGAGCTGGAGCTGGCTGGGCGCGTGGAGCAGGTGCAACTGTTACCTTGGGCTTGACCTCCGGCCTGACCTGAGTCCGCACCGGAGCGGTGCCCACGTCCACGCTGTCCAGGGTGTTCCTTACCACAAACTGCTGACGGGCCTGCGGCTGGCTCCGAGGTCTGGCTCGAGCCAGGGGCATGGGCATGAAGCGGAAGAGACGGGGAGCAGCGGCGTCGTCATCGTCGGGAACGTCGTCAGTGGCAAGATCCTCATCGCCGGCAGCAGCAGCAGCTGGCGCAGCAGGTGCTCCCGATCCAGGTCCGCCTGCAGGAGGAGTCCACATGGCAGCCAGCCGGATGGGCACAAATGCTGGCAGCCTGACGGTGATGGGTGTTCCGGAAGGCAGCTGGGGAGCAGGCACCGGCAGTGGAATGGGTATGGGTATAGGACGTGGCCGAGGCGGTGGCGGCGGAGGCAGTGGCGGCAGAGGACGAGGAGCTGGCCTTCTGGTTGTCGTTTCCACTGGCGGCGGGGCAGCAGTGGTAGTTGTAGTGGTCGCCGACTCTTGTTCCACTTCCTTCCAGGCCTCCAGCAGGGTCAGCAGATCATCCTTGTTCATGTGACCCAGGCCAACGGGGTTGTAGGCCCATTCTCCGCCGACTCCCAGGCCCAGGCCACCACCCACAGTATTCCAGCCGAGCGGGGGCAGAGCGGGCACCGGCGCCAGGTGCTCTAGATGCTCCAGGTGCTCCAGGGGAGCCTCAAACAGCGATCTCTGGGGACGCGCGAGGAGCAGCTGCTGGCCGGCCGTCCCATCGAACAGGATCTGCAGCAGGAAGCCCAGCAGAGTGGCACCAACTGACCCGATCATGACTGACACTGAATTGTGGCGTCTCTGGGCGGACACTCTCTTATATATCTCCCTCCGCCTCCTCCGCCTCCTGATGCTGCTATCGGAAGAAGGAAGGAGGCCAAGTCCAGCGAAACGGAAGCGCACGCATTTGGTGAACTGCTACACGGAGAAAAAAGGGGGCACTTCAAGAAAGTCAAAGCTATAAAATTGTGTCAGACGGCATATTTTATTATTTTCAGTGTGCAAACGGGTTTGATTGCACTGGACTGGCCAGGAGCCCACCGCGATGGTCGCTCCCAACGCACACGCACCTCCAAGTACCGCCAGGCAGTTTAATTGCCAAGTCCAAGTCCAGTCCCTGCCTTCAGTCCGGTTTCCACGGGCGAACCACTTTTCCTTTTGCGAGCACGCCAGACCAAGATGGTAGCTGCGGGCGAAACCAGTTGGTGCCCACTTTGGTCACCGACTTTTGGGCGGTCCGCAGTCGAGGAAGCGTTTCTGAATCTTGCGTGCGTGCGGGCGCACTTCCTCCTCAATTTCGATCCACGGCTACGGATTTGGTGCAGTTGGTTGCGCAACGGCATCAGGAGATGGGAAATTGCTGGGGCATGCCGCAGATTCCGATTTATGTATGTTGGTTAATAATTCAAATCTGCAGCCAGGGAAATGACAAAACCGGAGTTGCCAAGGAAAATGGAACTAACTTTTCATCAAAATACCAGGCGCTCAGAAAGGGATAGCAAGTGTCCAGAAAAACAGAAAGCAGACAACACAGAGTTGTATTTTGGGAAAGAAGCCGTTACTTAGAGCGATGCTGCCAGCCCAGAGTTGTATTTTGGGAAAACAGCAACTGAAAACTGTTATAAAAAGTCCAAGTTTCGAACCTTTTACGAGCAAGCGCAAGTAATGGCTGTTTTCTCAAAACAACTCTGGGCAGGCAGAGAGGGATAGCAAGTGTCCAGAAGAAACAGAAAGCTGCCTGCCCAGAGTTGTATTTTGGGAAGGAAGCCGTTACTTTGTTTTGTTTTGAGAAACACCAGCTACTTGCTGTGTTTTCTTAGCGCCTGGTAAATAAATATTGGTATGCTGAATTTACAAATAAAATAATAATAATAAAATAATTAATTTTAAGAATTTAAATTTATTTTTAGATATTAAATTAAATAAATAAAAAATAAAAACTTATTAAAATATTAAATAAATAATTTTTATTTAATAAATATCATACATTTTCATTTACGGGGAATATAAATAATAATTTAAGTCGCAACTGAAGCTAGAGAAATTAAAAATAATTTCAGCAGCCCATCCAAATTTTCGAAAATTTCCATGCAATTTGCCTGCTTCTCAAATTGGGGTAACAGGCGAACAGAAACCAGCAGCAAGCTACTGAGAACTGGTATCAACTGTTATAAAAAGTCCAAGTTTCGAACCTTATGGGAGCAAGCGAATGTCAGCGGTTCCTAAAAGAGGGGAACGCACACTAGGCATGCCTCTCACTTACTCTTATAGCGAAAACTATTTGTGTCTCGTTCGCACGATCAGCGAAACAAAAGCGAGAGGGGCCTATATTACACACTATGTTTGTCTCGTTCGCACGATCATACATGATTAATGAAGCTGCAACGACCAGCGAGTACCCTTTCTGCTGCTGACATCTCCCACCGACTACTTATAAATGGGTTATATTGAATATATATATATTTTTTCTCAATTAAATATATATTATTTTGTATAGTTGTTTTATTATAATATTTAACCATACAGAATTTCAAATAAATATAGCGGCGCTTAATAGTAATTTTACATTCAGCTGCCCTGCTGAACTAATATACCCTAAAAAACATAGGGAGCTCACTCTATGTTTGCCTCCCACTTACTCCTATAGCGAAAACTATTTGTGTCTCGTTCGCACGATGAGCGAATGATACACTAATACATATAGAGAAAATAAGTGAAGAGCGCACCAATACAAGCATAGCTCACAAAAATTTACTTGCTGCTGGGCGCCTTGCTGCTGATTCTGTTCGCCTGGTATGCGCCTGGTAGAATTTGTGGTTGAAGCCCATTTTTCATGATAGACAACAACAACAATTACAACAAAAAATGTATGCCCGATTCTCCCCCCCCAAGTCCCCCGTGCCCTGGTCTGAGTACCAGGCGCGCAGAATCTGCAGCAAGCAGCTGCCCGCCAGAATTAATTGTTCTAAAGTAACGGTTCCCAAAAGAGGGGAACGCACACTAGGCATGCCTCTCACTTACTCCTATAGCGAAAACTATTTGTGTCTCGTTCGCACGATCAGCGAAACAAGAGCGAGAGGGGCCTATATTACACACTATGTTTGTCTCGTTCGCACGATCATACATGATTAATGAAGCTGCAACGACCAGCGAGTACCCTTTCTGCTGCTGACATCTCCCACCGACTACTTATAAATGGGTTATATTGAATGTATATATATTTTTTCTCAATTAAATATATATTATTTTGTATAGTTGTTTTATTATAATATTTAACCATACAGAATTTCAAATAAATATAGCGGCGCTTAATAGTAATTTTACATTCAGCTGCCCTGCTGAACTAATATGCCCTAAAAAACATAGGGAACTCACACTATGTTTGCCTCCCACTTACTCCTATAGCGAAAACTATTTGTGTCTCGTTCGCACGAATTCTAAAGGTTTGAGCCTCCGCTAGCTTACGCTTGCTCCCAGAAGGTTCGAAACTTGGAGTTTTTATAACAGTTTATAACAGTTTTCAGTTGCTTGCTGCTGGTTTCTGTTCGCCTGGTATCCCAATTTGGGAAACGGGCAATTTGCATGGAAATTTTCGAAAATTTGGATGGCTGCTGTAGGGAGGTTGTTGTAATGGGGTTGTTGTTGCAATCAAGTGGCTGTGCCGGCGGTAAAAGGGTATAAATGCATAAAATAAAATATAAATGTTTATACCAGTTATTATTTCTGGCCCAAAGTTATTATAACAGTTTATAAATAAATAAATATTTAAATTAATTATTTTTTATTTTCTTAAATATTATAATTTTCAATTAACGGGGAAAATAAATAATAATTTAAGTCGCAACTGAAGCTAGAGAAATTAAAAATAATTACAGCTGCCCATCCAAATTTTCAAAAATTTCCATGCAATTTGCCTGCTTCTCAAATTGGGGTAACAGGCGAACAGAAACCAGCAGCAAGCTACTGAGAACTGGTAAAAACTGTTATAAAAAGTCCAAGTTTCGAACCTTCTGGGAGCAAGCGAATGTCAGCGGTTCCTAAAAGAGGGGAACGCACACTAGGCATGCCTCTCCCTTACTCTTATAGCGAAAACTATTTGTGTCTCGTTCGCACGATAAGCGAATGATACACTAATACATATAGAGAAAATAAATGAAGAGCGCACCAATACAAGCATAGCTCAGAAAAATTTACTTGCTGCTGGGCGCCTTGCTGCTGATTCTGTTCGCCTGGTATGCGCCTGGTAGCATTTGTGGTTGAAGCCCATTTTTCATGATAGACAACAACAACAATTACAACAAAAATGTATGCCCGATTCTCCCCCCCAAGTCCCCCGTGCCCTGGTCTGAATACCAGGCGCGCAGAATCTTCAGCAAGCAGCTGCCCGCCAGAATTAATTGTGCTAAAGTAACGGTTCCCAAAAGAGGGGAACGCACACTAGGCGTGCCTCTCGCTTACTCCTATAGCGAAAACTATTTGTGTCTCGTTCGCACGATCTGCGAAACAAGAGCGAGAGGGGCCTATATTACACACTATGTTTGTCTCGTTCGCACGATCATACATGATTAATGAAGCTGCAACGACCAGCGAGTACCCTTTCTGCTGCTGACATCTCCCACCGACTACTCATAAATGGGTTATATTGAATGTATATATATTTTTTCCCAATTAAATATATATTTGTTTGTATAGTTGTGTTAATATAATATTTAACCATACAGAATTTCAAATAAATATAGCGGCGCTTAATAGTAATTTTACATTCAACTGCCCTGCTGAACTAATATGCCCTAAAAAACATAGGGAACTCACACTACGTTTGCCTCCCACTTACTCCTATAGCGAAAACTATTTGTGTCTCGTTCGCACGATAAGCGAATGATACACTAATACATATAGAGAAAATAAATGAAGAGCGCACCAATACAAGCATAGCTCAGAAAAATTTACTTGCTGCTGGGCGCCTTGCTGCTGATTCTGTTCGCCTGGTATGCGCCTGGTAGAATTTGTGGCTGAAGCCCATTTTTCATGATAGACGACAACAACAATTACAACAAAAATGTATGCCCGATTCTCCCCCCCAAGTCCCCCGTGCCCTGGTCTGAATACCAGGCGCGCAGAATCTTCAGCAAGCAGCTGCCCGCCAGAATTAATTGTGCTAAAGTAACGGTTCCCAAAAGAGGGGAACGCACACTAGGCGTGCCTCTCGCTTACTCCTATAGCGAAAACTATTTGTGTCTCGTTCGCACGATCTGCGAAACAAGAGCGAGAGGGGCCTATATTACACACTATGTTTGTCTCGTTCGCACGATCATACATGATTAATGAAGCTGCAACGACCTGCGAGTACCCTTTCTGCTGCTGACATCTCCCACCGACTACTTATAAATGGGTTATATTGAATGTATATATATTTTTTCCCAATTAAATATATATTTGTTTGTATAGTTGTGTTAATATAATATTTAACCATACAGAATTTCAAATAAATATAGCGGCGCTTAATAGTAATTTTACATTCAACTGCCCTGCTGAACTAATATGCCCTAAAAAACATAGGGAACTCACACTACGTTTGCCTCCCACTTACTCCTATAGCGAAAACTATTTGTGTCTCGTTCGCACGATAAGCGAATGATACACTAATACATATAGAGAAAATAAATGAAGAGCGCACCAATACAAGCATAGCTCAGAAAAATTTACTTGCTGCTGGGCGCCTTGCTGCTGATTCTGTTCGCCTGGTATGCGCCTGGTAGCATTTGTGGTTGAAGCCCATTTTTCATGATAGACAACAACAACAATTACAACAAAAATGTATGCCCGATTCTCCCCCCAAGTCCCCCGTGCCCTGGTCTGAATACCAGGCGCGCAGAATCTTCAGCAAGCAGCTGCCCGCCAGAATTAATTGTGCTAAAGTAACGGTTCCCAAAAGAGGGGAACGCACACTAGGCGTGCCTCTCGCTTACTCCTATAGCGAAAACTATTTGTGTCTCGTTCGCACGATCTGCGAAACAAGAGCGAGAGGGGCCTATATTACACACTATGTTTGTCTCGTTCGCACGATCATACATGATTAATGAAGCTGCAACGACCTGCGAGTACCCTTTCTGCTGCTGACATCTCCCACCGACTACTTATAAATGGGTTATATTGAATGTATATATATTTTTTCCCAATTAAATATATATTTGTTTGTATAGTTGTGTTAATATAATATTTAACCATACAGAATTTCAAATAAATATAGCGGCGCTTAATAGTAATTTTACATTCAACTGCCCTGCTGAACTAATATGCCCTAAAAAACATAGGGAACTCACACTACGTTTGCCTCCCACTTACTCCTATAGCGAAAACTATTTGTGTCTCGTTCGCACGATAAGCGAATGATACACTAATACATATAGAGAAAATAAATGAAGAGCGCACCAATACAAGCATAGCTCAGAAAAATTTACTTGCTGCTGGGCGCCTTGCTGCTGATTCTGTTCGCCTGGTATGCGCCTGGTAGCATTTGTGGTTGAAGCCCATTTTTCATGATAGACAACAACAACAATTACAACAAAAATGTATGCCCGATTCTCCCCCCAAGTCCCCCGTGCCCTGGTCTGAATACCAGGCGCGCAGAATCTTCAGCAAGCAGCTGCCCGCCAGAATTAATTGTGCTAAAGTAACGGTTCCCAAAAGAGGGGAACGCACACTAGGCGTGCCTCTCGCTTACTCCTATAGCGAAAACTATTTGTGTCTCGTTCGCACGATCTGCGAAACAAGAGCGAGAGGGGCCTATATTACACACTATGTTTGTCTCGTTCGCACGATCATACATGATTAATGAAGCTGCAACGACCAGCGAGTACCCTTTCTGCTGCTGACATCTCCCACCGACTACTCATAAATGGGTTATATTGAATGTATATATATTTTTTCCCAATTAAATATATATTTTTTTGTATAGTTGTTTTATTATAATATTTAACAATACAGAATTTCATATAAATATAGCGGCGCTTAATAGTAATTTTACATTCAGCTGCCCTGCTGAACTAATATGCCCTAAAAAACATAGGGAGCTCACACCATGTTTGCCTCTTACTTACTCCTATAGCGAAAACTATTTCTGTCTCGTTCGCACGAATTCAAAAGGTTTGAGTCTCCGCTAGCTTACGCTTGCTCCCAGAAGGTTCGAAACTTGGAGTTTTTATAACAGTTTATAACAGTTTTCAGTTGCTTGCTGCTGGTTTCTGTTCGCCTGGTACCCCAATTTGAGAAACAGGCAAATTGCATGGAAATTTTCGAAAATTTGCATGGCTGCTGTATTTTTAATTTATCTAGCTTCAGTTGCGATTTTAATTATTATTTATATCCCCCGGTAATTAAAAATTATAATATTTAAGAAAATAAAAAATAATTAATTTAAATATTTATTTATTTATTTAACTAACTAACTGCATTTAATCTCTAACAATTAATAATTTAAAATTACTATTGCACATAGAAGGCATGAATGAAGGCATGTAAATTCAGGCGCTCAGAAAACACAGCAAGTAGCTGGTGTTTCTCAAAACAAAACAAAGTAACGGCTTCTTTCCCCAAATGCAACTCTGGACAGGCAGCTCAAAAAGGGATAGCAAGTGTTCAGAAAAAGAAAAGAAAAGAAAAAGTTGTATTTTGGGAAAGAAGCCGTTACTTGGAGCAAAGCTTGTCACGAAAAACATTTAAAGAGATATTAATTTTTGATGAGCTATGATTTATTTACAATAAATAAATTAAATAAATTATTTATATTTAGCCATATTTGAATTGTAATTAGTATTTTTCCGCTATATTCCCGCTGACCCCTCATTCACATGCTTTATTCTAGTATTTTTTCAGCGGCTGCCGGGAGGGTATTTTCCAGCGGGCCGGCTACGGTCACACTGCTGACGTGTTTCTAACGAATCCCAAACACGAATCCACTAGAAACCCCCAATACACCGCCCGCTGCCCGTCGCCCGCGACGTTGCAACATAGTTTTCACTGCAAGCGGTGCCCCCACGAATCCCGGGGCTGACCAAAGGCCGTATCCAGTCAGCAAACCCAAATAAACAGAGAGCAGCCAGCCCCATCTAGGAGGCGGAACGACACGACCCCGGATCAGCTGCTGGCTTGTGAAATCGAGAGAAGCCCTTTGACTCCAAGCAGCCACATAGCCAATCCATAGAGCTAGCTAGGATCGTAGCTGATCCTGGAATACAGACCCAGAAGCTCGAGGGAGACCAAGAGAGAGCAAGAGAGTGAGGTAGCCGTGGCCAGCGAATTCCACGGAGAAACCGCATAATCCGACACAAGCGAAGCCATGGCGCTGCTAACCATGATTGCCCGAGTCATCGATGGCCTGCCGCTGGTGGGGACCATGCAGGATGACGAGCAGGTACTTGGCACTTTCGCCTGGCGTGCGTCTACATCATATTAAACTGTTCCACTTTCACTTTCTCTGTTGGCAGAGCGGTCGCAGCATACTGGACTATCAGAACCAGGCCAAGATGCTGTTCCGCAAGCTGGGCACACATTCGCCAGCGCGCAGCAGCATTGAAACCGGGCCCTATCTGTTCCAGTGAGTAAACACCCTGGAGGTCCCTTCTAGAATCTAGATGATGCAATAATTCCCATTCCCATTCCCTATCTTTCCACCAGCTACCTTATCGAGAACGATGTCTGCTATTTGGTGATGGTGGATAAGATGTACTCGAAGCGTTTGGCCTTCAATTACCTGGAGGATCTGGCCCAGGAGTTTCATGCCAACTATGGCAGGCGTGTCAATTCGGTGACGCGGCCGTATGCCTTCATAGAGTTCGATGTGTACATACAGAAGGCGAAAAAGCAGCTGACCGACCGCAGGCGCAACATTAGCAACATCAACACACAGCTGCAGGATGTGCAGCGTATCATGGTGCAGAACATAGACGATGTGCTCCAGCGTGGCACTGTGCTGGCGGGTAACTATCTGAGACCCATGATACCCACTCTCAACCATATCTTACCTGTGTTTCCCTTTCCCTCTTCCTCTCCAGAGCTCGACACAAAGACCCAGAACCTGTCAATGATGTCGCAGAAGTACAAGAAGGACGCCAAGCTGCTCAACCGCAAATCCATGTACGTGAAGGCGGCCGTTGTGGGCATACTGTTTATCGTGTTCATCATGTACTTTTGGGTTCTGTAATCCATGCTCCATGCTCCATGCTCCACTAGTGTGCCACTCCGGAGCGGTGCATGTCGCGCAGGTTGGACGTCAAAGACGGAAAGGCCGCAAGATATTTTGGTAGAGCCGCCTTTACACCTGTACTCTTGTACACCCCCAAAAAACACACACCTACCCATATATATATATATGTTTAATTCATAAGCAGTCATGGAAAATGGGGGAAAACTAAAGAGCAAAACACACTTTTGACACGCGCATTGCTTCCGAGAGGCTTGTTTAATTTCTAAATTAACTTACTTTTGTTTAGTGTTTCCGGTCTGAAAAATCCATTAACTATTAACTCCGGTTACCTGCATTTCTGTTTTCATTTTTATTTCCACAAGTTTCAAAAAATTTCCCCACTGGTTGGCACAGGTTTTTCTTGTTTTAATTTCAAGTCTGCAAAATCTGTAAATTATAAATGCTAAAAATGTGCGTGTACATGTCTAGATAGTAGATGGAATCGCTATAAAGCGAATCGTTCGTTGGGTGATTGATAAAAAACAGAAAAATATTTAAAAAAAAAAAACATAGCAAAGAAAAGGAAAGAAACGATAACAGTTTTAGGCAATTTATATGAATAAAATTAAGGCAAATAAATCAATTTACATTGTTTAATAAAAAGACAAAAACACTGAGTAATCTAACGAGTTTTTGGTAACGAGTAGCCAATTATTTCAACTCGATTAAAGCAGTAACGAGTAGCGAATTATTTCAATCAATAGTCTCGGGTATCGAGTGTACTTACTACTTTTCTTTCCAAATTAAAAAACCAGTTTTAGACTCTATCAAAGGAGTAACGAGTACACCCATGAAACCTTCTCTTTCCAATTAAAAACACAACCACTTTGATTTTTAGTTTTTTAATTGTTAATTTCCCTTTATATATATATAGTATATATATATTTCGTTTCACTGGAGTGTGAGTTGTGATACATTCGCCTATATATAGTTCATATATATATATATATATCATCTTGCTGCAAGCTTGCTATATACGATTTTCGATTCTTCCCAATGAGTTGCTCTCGTCGTTCGTTGCGTCTCGGCGCATATAAATTTGTAATATCAAATTGTTACAATTAGGAAAAAAATGCGCTGTTACCATTTACACTTGTTAATATCGTTAATCCTTCACTTTCGTGTATAATTTTGTTAAATATCGAATCCGAATACATGAATACGCTCTCTATATATCTTCTATATATATATATATGTCTGAATATGCTTCTGAGGGGTTGAAAATAATTTCATTTCGTTTGCTACAATTTGTTGACTATTTCCTAGGCTTTTTTTCTTTTGCTTTTCTGCTGAAGCTCTGAGTGGTTGAGTGGGTTGACATTTAGAACAGGCTAAAAACGCTTTAAAATAATTAAGTTAATAATTAAGTTAAGTTGCTGCTTTGAGTGAAAGCCGGGAAAAAACCATAGGAAAAAGGGGGGTGTCAATGGCGATGCTTTTTCTGCTTTGAAAAATCCTTTACAAAATATGTGTGTTTTTTCTGCTAATGCTTATAGATTACCTTGCTTGATTTTAATTTTTGTTTTAATTTGTTTTGTTATTTGGCTTTAGCTTCCTTCTCGTTCTTGGCTCCGACATCTACAAAATTCAAAAGGCAGTATTGCGCATGGAGGGACACTTACAAATTGAGATTCATTACAAAGCATATCGAAGAGCAAGAACACTCGCATATATATACTATATAGTATTGTGTTTCTACATGGATTATACAAAAAAAAATATATATATAAAAAAAAAAACAAGACAAGAACAAGGTAAAATGTTGAGATTCTAGTTAAGTTTACAATTCTCGTTTTCGTTTTTGAATACCTCATACATTTCGGGGTACTTAGAGACTATTCAAAAAAATATTTAATACATGTTATGTGTTATGTGTAATGTATAATGTATCTATATATCATACATCATACATCTTACATCATACATCACACATCATATTTCATATTTAAGTTTAGCTTAGGAAAGAACTGTAGTGAGTGATGGTGCGCAGGTAGAAGAAGGTCCTTCCCAGGCCGCTTAACCCTAACTCTAACCAGCTATCCTGTAATCCTTGCATCTTTCATCTACCATCTTTCATCTCCTATCTTCAATCTTCCATCTTCCATCTTACCATCTTCTAATCTCCTCTTTTGTATCCTTCCTACATTTATATATATATCTTTCTAGGTGTATATTTGTTGCCAAATCTGTTGGATGGTGCATATGTATCCGTTATTAGTCGTATATGTCTGTCCTCCTCCTCCGTTGATCCTCGATTTATGTACAGTGTGTGTGTGTGTGTGTGATCCTCCCTACTTAATCCTCTGATGATCCGGCGTGCTCTTGAGTATATCCGGCTGATGGTGCTGCTGCTGCTGCTGCTGATGATGATGATGATGCTGATGGTGGTGACCCGAGCTCAGGGTCCCCGGCTGACTGCCTCCGCCGGCATGATGGGAGCTGCTCAGGGTGTGCGAGTGATTCGAGTTGAGCGTATGCGTGGCATGCGAATTGAGCGTATTGTGGGCCGTGGTGTTGGCATTTGTGGAGAACCCAGTGGCCGCCGCTGAGCCACCGCCACCACCACCACCACCCGTGGTCGGCCGCTGGGAGGTTCTCAGCGAGCGATGTGAACCATTTCGGGTCAGGGAGTTCATTTGCGGCGTTCCCGGCACCGTGTGGCCCAGGGCATTCATGTAGTCCGCTATCAGCAAGGTGATCTCCAAGATCTTGGGCTTGCTCATCGCAAACAGAAGCTTCTGCTCACAGCCACCGCCACCGCCGCCGTCGTCGTGGGAGACCACCAGCATGAAGTCATCCTGACAGCCGCCAAAGGTCATCACCGAACTGTAGGGATACCGGGCCACCGGGGCCATCGTAGACAGCTCAAGCACATTCAGAGCATCCTCGGCTACCGCCAGCCAAGCCACTGGTGTGGTTGTGGTGGTTCCTGCTCCCGTGGCGGCCTCGCTCTGCCTGGGCTTGGCCTGGAACAGGCAGGCCCCGAAATACGGCCACTTGCGGCAGCAGGTGAGATAAATGCGCACACAGTCCAAGGTGGAACGACCCTTGAGCAGCATCCACTTGGACACGAGCAGCTCCTGGACATCCTTCAGCTGCTCGGCACCCAGGGCATCCCTGTAGCGGTACGGATAGAATTTATCCAGACCCTTGAGGCCCACGCCAATGTCCCGTGACTTCTCCAGGGAGTAGTCGCCCATGTCGATCTGCGACATCAGCGAGGCCAGCTCCAAGGCCAGTTCCCGGGAGAGGGGGAAGCGGCCCTGTACGATCTGCGCATTGGTCTGGTAGCACAACAGCAGCCGCTCCTTGTCCGTCTCGCACTTGATGGTGTGCTTCCAGTAGAGCCGGTTCTTGTAGCTCAGCTGGATCACGCGCGAATTCTCGAACTTGCCGGAGCCCTTCTCGCGCAGCGCCGTCTCCCACTTGCTGATCACGTCGCACAGCTTGGCCAGCGGCTCCAGATAGTGCTCCAGATCCTTCTCAATGGAATCGTCGCTGAACAGGCAGAAGCCATTGGTGGCGTCCCTTGTGCCCAGCTCGTGGGCAAGGGTGGCCTGGAACTCCTCAATGGTGGTGGAGCCGTCGAAGGAGACCACCTGGGTAAAGGGGGAAAATCAAGATGAATTGTCAAGTAAAAAACTGGTTTCATAATATTACTTAATTCCCCGATTAATGTGCAGTTTAACCTGATCCTTATTCCACTTAGCTTTCACTTAAACCCCTGATTAACTTCCACTTAAACTCAGGGTTAATTCGCATTTAAACCCCTGGTTAGATGTTAGTTAAACCCCATCCTAATTCCTCTTAACTTTTACTTAAACCCCTGGTTAACTTTTATTTAAAACCCTGCTTAACTGCCAGTTAAACCTCCTGTTAACTGTAAGAATAAAACTCACCTGATAAGTGGTGTTCATCATATGAACTGGAATCGCATGCGGCAACGAATGATGATAGGGATTCTTGAGTAGAATTGACAACACCTCCATCCTCGAGGGCTTCGTCTCGCGTCCACCGTTCTTCAGGGTCCTCTCCAGCGCCCGCTCACAGTAGGCGGCATATTTGCCCGTTTCCGTCTTGGTATCAGCATTCCGGGACAAATGGAGCTTGAGGTACCACAGCAGGCGGCTCGAGCGTGGAACAAAGAGGGAGACGGCCAGGGCCAGGAGCTGCCAGCCCTGGACAAAGCTGTAGGCGGGCGGGTTGCTCTTGCAGTCAATGATGGGCGTAGCAGCTGGAGCCTAAGGAAGCGGATTGATTCAAGGGATCGGTCAGAGATTAGTTTGGGGTTTCGATTCAAGATCATGGGGAAACTGGGGCTTACAGTTAAAGGTTAAAGTTTAAGTTAAAGTTAAGGTTAACAGAGTTAGTGAGGTTAGGAGTAACTACGTTTACGGTGGTGGCTACTGAAATCGAACGCAACTGTACTCGCACAACAAACAATCGGTACGGAAAAGAGAGTGTAAGAGGTGAGTTGGGTTTTGGGTTGAGGTGAAAGTAAATAAGAGAGAGTTAGTGATGAGACTAGAGCTGGAAATAGAATCGATTCTATTATCGGCAGACATCGATATACATTTTCTGAATCGATTTAATCGAAAAAGTTATATATATGTTTTCTTTAATTTAATTCAATTTAAATAATTTCTTTTATCGATTTTAATCGATTTATTTTCTTTAAAAATCGTTGAATTTCCAACTCTAGATGAGACCATAAATTTCCCCGCATACCTGTATGGAGGTGGGCGAACTGCCGTTGGCTTGGGCGTGGCCAGCCTGTTGGGTATCACAGGTGAACAGGCTTTGGGTGGCGCACAACAGTAGTTGCTGTAAAATTTCATATCGCGGGGGTTGGTTGGTTGTTGTTGTTGGTCGTTCGTACAGTGTTGGTAAACGGTCACACGAACACACACACATATTCGAAACGCAACGTAATGCAACAAAAGTATGGAGGAGAAGAGAAGAAGAAGCCAGAGAGAACAGTTTTTGATCAATTTTTTTTTTCACTCATCATTATTAATTTTTGCAGTGTCTGATGTTTGTTTTCTGTTTGACAGTGTTGTGTAACGTCAGACGCTTCGTTAGGTTCGTTAAAAATAAAGCGTGTTGCGAAACGATTAACAAGTTAACGAGACACAAAAGTAGAGGTAGATTAGAGAGCACATTCAAAGCGAATTATAAACATAAATGTGAGAAAGCGGCAAGAAACAATGGAGGAGGAAAACCTCTAGGAAATGTAAGGAAAACAAAACAAACCCTTGGCCAACACTGAGCCCGTGTTGGTTAGGAGTTTAGTATGCATGGAAATTAATTGCATCTGCTGCGTAACTGTGTTGTGTTATGTTCTGAGATCGGTGGTTCTGTAGCTGAGTGGTTGAGTGATTCTAGTTGTTGTGGTGGTTTTCTTTTGTCAAATTTACAGCAATTACTTTATACAATGAGACTGTTTTTGATTTTAATAAATATATGGTAGATATACACATAGAGTTATACACTGAAGTATTGAAGCTATATGTACATACAGAATATATATATATAGATATAGATATGTCTGACAGTTATGGGGGAAATTTGTTGTCTGTTTTGCTACCAAAGTGAACTCAATAAAAACTTAATAAAATTAACAACAATTATGGGAGGATATTACATGTAAATCAATATCAATTTCAACTTGTAATGCTCAAATTTCAACCGTTTACATGTATATCCCCCTCAAGTGATCAAGTTCAAATAGAAAAGCATGCATATGGGTTAGTTTTGACTGTGTCTTGGGTTTATATGTGATATATGTGATATGGATATTCGATTAGTTCGGTTATGATATTGCATTTTAAAGCGTTCGTAAGCTTGTTCCTTAAAGCAAAGCTCTCTTTTCGGGCAAAAGAAACAATACCTATGGAGACACCTCTTCTTCGGGCTGTTCTTCTTGCAATTTGTTAGTGGGGATTTGAGGGGAATTCATTTTTCTACATCAAAAATCAAGGACATTCAACTAAACATTTTTTTCTTAGGGGATGCAGGTTAGGGAAAAGGCAGTTGGTTAAGGGGACACATAAGAAGCTTTGCAACTGAAAAACTTACGCGCGTTTGCTTGCCCAGCTTCTTGTTTACCTGGACGCCGACACTGAGCTTCTGGCCCATGTGCCGGGAGGTCTGCTTGATCAGTATGCAGATCATCTCCGTCTGCAGCTCGGGCATATCCAAAGCATGCTGCAGGGCATTCTGGGCGAGCACCACGTGATAGTCGATGCCCGGCTGGTTGACAGCCACCGACATGAACAGCTGGATGCTCTGTGGGGGGGGGGGGATGATATCAGAGTTCTTCCAGTTCTTCCAGCTGTAACCAACTCACCTTGAATAGCTTAATGGCCTCCGGCTGCATGGTTTCCGTGTGCATGGACGAGAGCGGGGCTGTGATGGTGTCTTTGGTGTGCAGCAGAATGGGATGGCGCCACAAAACGCAATCTAAAATTTTGAGAAATTTAAAAGTGATTATCTTTGGTACCCCAAGGAAATAAATTGAAGAAAAAACCCACTGGGATCGCCATCGGTCTCCATGAGCTTCTGGACAAGCTGCTCGTACTGGGTGCCAGCGCTGGGCCCGCCACCAGAAACCACAGTCAAGTGATACAGCCAGTTGTCGCGCTCCGGCTTCCCGGACAAGATCAAGTAGGTAGGTCCCTGGTGAGCTGGATAAATGGCCACCGTGAGGCGTGCCTGATCCTGGGCAGCATCCTCGCGCTCCTCAGAATCCGAGTCAGAGACATGCTCCACCTCCTCCACCCGGGCATCGCGCATATTGATCTGACCCAAAGGATTCTGAACACAAAAAAAATGTTCAATAATTTTAAAATTATAAAAAAAGAAACAACTTCCTACTCACCGTCTCGGCAGGTGCCTTGAAGTACAGGAACATCTTGCCCAGCAGCACACACCAACACTTCTTGGGATGACCGTTCTTGACCTTGGTTACCCAACCCTGAACGGTGGGCTTCTGGTCGTCGCGACTCAACAGCAGCTTGGTGGCATTCCGCCGCTGCACATTCTGCAGCACACGTATCCAGTCGTCCATGGTGGCATGCGAGTCGGCGGTGAGGTAGTAAACCTTCTTGCCCGTATCTATCTCGAATGTGGAGGCACCTTCCGCCCTGTTGATGCGACAGGCCTCGTCCAACTGGATCTGACCCTGTGGCTTCCTTTGCACGTCATGCTGGCTCTTCCAGTAGTTGAGAGATCCGTTCTTAAGGACAAACCAGCGCTTGCGCCAGGTCTTGAGCTTGCCACCGAGTTTGGCCAGGTGACCCATCTAAAGAAAGGCAATCAAATAGTTAATTAATTGATTAAAATTCAATAATAATTAATTTATTTATTAAATTATTATTTAATTATGGACTTGCTTTACTCACCTTCTCCAGCGATTCAATCTTCTTGCTCGGCGAGTCCACGTAGGACTGACGCATCAGCAGCGATGGCATCGAGGCGTCCATGCATGTGGACTCCGACACGGCATCGGGGGGCAGGGCATAGTCATCCGAGAGGCCTGATTCAAAGGAGAGATCTGAAATTACTGTGCCACGCATGTGCTGGAGTGGGGAGGGGTTGGCATGGGCAATGGGACTGGGACTGGGGCGCCTCGTGGGCGTTCTAGGGCTGGGGCGTGGCAGCGTATTCTGGCCACATCCAGTTGACGCCAGCGTTGATATCCCAGGGTGCTGTTGGTGGTGGTGGTGGTGCTGCTGCTGCTGCTGTTGGCTGTGATTGTAGTGGTTCTGGTGGGGCAGAGTGTGGTGTTGGTGGTGGTGATGCTGGCTGATGTGGTTGTTGGAATGAGTGGTGTTGGTGGAGGTGCGTGGTTGGAGGTGATGGTGGACTGCGGTTGGGGTCAGAGGTTAATGGCGGTTATTTTGGTTATTTTTGGTTATTCAGCCAGCGGCGATGGTTGATTTGATGGACAAAAGTGGTTAGAATCGCAAGTTGTTAGAGCACACAATTAGTTTTATTTTGCTTATTTTTTGAGGAAGAAGGCAAAATCTAGGTGGGGGAGTGGGATTTGGGATGCAGGAGAGTTCTAGGTATACCTGGGAGTAGGATAAATTCAGGCTTAATAAGTGATCTAAGCTCAAACAGGAATAATCTCATTTAATCAAAAAGATCTCCGAGGACAGAAGTTAGAAGTAGTTAGGGGAATAATCATTCATAAGGAAATATTACTTGGGAGTCAGAAACTGGTATTTAGGTACTTGCACTGAGGAACAAGGATGTTGGGGATCTAGGATTATATATATGTCAAGGGTTTGTAGGGTGTTAAGTGTCACAGAATCCCCCAAAAGGCAGGCTTAAAGGGATAAGGTTCAAGGATTTTGAATATACTTGTAAGGAACTAGGATTCTATAAGCAGTATTTAGGACTAGGACTATATAGATGTCAAGTCTTTGGAGTAAATATGAATTGGTTTCTGGTGTTTGGAGTAATGCAAATGTTATTAAAACCCTCCGAAGGCTTCACAGTTCCAATCATAGCTACGTCAGGGATCCGGATTTGGGTTAGACAAGGATCAGGCATCGGAAATTGGAAGCTAATTCTAGGATTTAAGAAGTTAGGAGTACATATATACTTGCTTCTACACCCCTTAACCGAGGGCCATTTTCTAAAAGGGTCTACGCTATGCCAGGATTGGGTTTTCATAGATTACTGAAACATTTCCATTTAAAAGTACATACCACGCGCCTTGGCATTCTTGGGACTCTCCGAACCACTTCGCTTTGCTGGACTCAGGCTGGATGAGGTCTTCAGGCTCTTCGAGGGACTCGATGCACTGCCAGAGGTCGATGTCTCCGTGTTGTCCGTGCTCGAAGAGTTGTGCGAGTGGTGGGTAAGCATCACGGCATGATCCTCCCCATCGCTAGAGTCATCGCTCGAGTCACCCGTAAAGGGCATCGAACGGATCTGGGAGGCACGACCCTTGACCGTCGCATAGACGGGCACGGATATATCACAGAAGCCGCCGCTGGCGGTTTGTTGCTGCCTCGACGGTGGCAGCGGGGTGCCCGGTGTGCTGCTGCCCAGGGTACCGTGTCCAGTGTCTCCAGTGGCGGATCCATGACTGTGGTTGTGCCGCCTACCATTGGAGAGATTGCTGCCGGTGCCAGTGTTTCCAGTTCCCTCTTGGATATCTGGCTCCTGACTGGCCGTGCTCTCCGAGGTCGTAGTTCCTGCTCCCGTTCCGGCCAAGCCATCGTTGGCCACCTGGTAGATCTTGGCCTCCCAGCTGGGGAAGCGGTGCAGGGGCGGTGTCGGGGGTCGTGGCACACCCAGTTCGCTGGTCGTAGTTGTGGTGGTGCTCGAATTCCCACCACTGGCCATCAGGGCCGGATTGTTCTTCATCCAGGCGGGCAGCTTTTCACAGGATGGCGTGTAGATCTCCGCATAATCATGGGCCGTATCCGTATCCGAGCTATCGGGCCTGTTTACGGCAGAGACACCTCCTCCTATACCGCTGGGTGCCTTGCTGGAGATGCTCGAGAGCGGGGCCAGGGTCAGGCCATCCACGGCAGCCACCAGATTCCTTTCTAGCTCCTGCGGCTCCATCGATAGATTACGCCTGTGCTGGTGATGGGGATATGAACTGGTCAGCGGTCGCCCGATAATCTCCTGCGGATCTAGGCTTTCGCTACGCCTTCGATGCTCAGGATTTGACCCAGAGCCGGCAAAGTCCTGGACGTCCAAGCTAAGGCTATTCCTCACAGGACCAACGATGCTGTGCCGCTGCGACTGGTTGGCTATGTGGTTCTTGAGCAGCTCCAACTGCTGGTTGCACTTGATGTTCTGCTCGCGCAGCAACTGATTCTGCTCCTCGAGATCGCGTAGCTTGTTGTTCACCCACTCCTTGATCTTGGCTGCCTTGGCCTCGATCTGGCGGGCGTCGTGTAGTCGCAGCTGTCGCTGTTCCTCGACCTGGATCTCCAACGAGGTGATGGTCTTCTCAGCCTCCTGTGTGGGGGGCGGCGGTGCTCCCGCCGGTGTCCCAGAACCAGTGCCTGCTGAACCGGTGCTAGCTGTGGCTCCTCCTCCTCCTCCTCCGATCTGGTGACTTGGAGAACTATTGCTTCTGGTTTGATGCTGCTGCTGCTGCTGCTCTTGCCCCACCGACTGGTGGGGATGCTGATGCTGGTGCGAATGCTGATGCGAATGCTGGGACGACTGCTGTTGGGGCGGCGGCTTGGGCCACTCACTCAGCCGCTGCTCCATGGCACGCACCTAGAAGAAAGGAGAGGGGAGAAGAAGAAAAGGCAAAGGTTACTCAAGTTGCAAACTTTTCTCACAGCGCAAACTTTTCCAAATTAAATTAAATTCACACTAAGCCACGGCAAAGTTCAGGGTGGGGTCTGGGTCTAATGGTTACACATGACTCCGCCGGGGGATTAGCTTTCCTTATGCACTGCCACAAACGTATTTACTTTTAGCACTTGGAGGAAACCTTGGGTTAGAGTTCCTTTTTCCAGTGCAGGTAAAGGGTTGTCTCTGCAAAAGATCGAAGGGGATTGGAGTCCTTCTGCCTCTCTAAACTTTTGCAAAGTCCCCGAGCCCCGGGGGCTCAAGTGTGGCGCGGAACTTGTGTAATTAAGGCGCATAACCAGCAGTTGGAGGCGACCAGCGACCATTTACCATTTAACACCCGGCACTGGCCCTCTCGTAATGGCACTGCAAATGGCCAAGTCGTCGTCGGTAAGGAATCGCCTGGCGCTAAGGAATGAGCCCGGCACATGCCACATCGCCCCCAGGAAATAAGTATTTTTATGGTTACACAACAATTTGCAAGTAATGCAACTGCCAGGGCACACAGGGAGGCGGAAGACAGGAAAGAAATAACTTCATTTGGCACGCCAGGAAACCAAACTGACAACTAAACAAAGCCGGAAGCAGGGAACACACAAAGAGGGGGAGGAGGAGCAGGAGGAGCAGGAGGAGCAGGAGCAGGAGGAGCAGGAAAAGCAGAAGCTACAGGACTACCCTAAGAGATGGTGCAGCTGGCAATCGATGCCAAAGGACTTTTCTTCCTTCGCCCGAGCTTTTGCAGAGTGAGGATATGTACATACATATAGGGAAAAGAGTGTCGGCACCTCGATTACATTATTAGTTGTCAGCCGGGATTGTGTGTACTCCAAATGGGTCAATTGCTTAATGTTAAAGGAGGCGAGATTTATGGAGGGAGTACAGCAAAGGATAACCCAACCCTTTGGTGAGGTGAATGAATGAATCGAGGTCCTTGCCTCTGGCCAATGCGGTTAAAAATAGATAGACCGCCGAAAATAGGAAGCCACAGGCAGCAACACAAAAGGGGACATGGCTCACACCTAGCCTGATAGCCTGGTGCCTGCTCCTCCACCTGATTCACCTTGGTCCTCCACCTTGCCACTCTACTTCCTCCTCCTCATCTACTTCAGCATTTTTTCCCTGCCAAGTGACGCATATAAAATGCCAAAGTTTATGCCTGTCATGACACGAACCGCTTTTGAGGAGAAGCCAGTCGAAAGGGAGGAGCTCTTAGGTAGCAGCAGCTCCCAGCTAGGACTCTCAGTGCCCTTACTGGCCATAGAAATATCGCCATGTGCACCAGCTGAGATACGCGAAAGAAGATACGGCCCAGAGATACGCGGACTACAATAGACAAGAGTTATGGACATGCAAAGTACAAAAGTCGCTGACTCCGAAAGGCCAAGAGTAAAAAAGAAAACTCAGGGAAAAACTATACACTATTCAAAATTTTTAATTTAAAAAGCTTTAAAAAGAGACACTTGTGTTACTTTTAGGGTAATAGAGATCATATTGAATAGTACATATTAAATATTATTCTCGCCACTGCTTAAGCCTAAGGCCGGCCACCGTCACTTCATGCCAGTGAGGTTAGAACCAGTTGGGAATTATAAGTGCACACGTGGGGATTTTTTTCGGCATAAATTTTAGGGTGTATTTGCCATGGCTTTTATATAAAAAATTATCAGCAAAACAAAAGAAATTCGCGCTTATTTAAAGAAAGGAACTAAACAAAGAAAAGTAAAAAAAAAATAAATAAATAAATTAAATTAAATAAATTTTAAGGTGTCTTGCCTTAAATTCATTAAAACTTTTTCATAAATCTAGAAAAGTTATCTGAATTTTTTGGCGATTATCTCAATATTTTTTTTTAAATGTATTCAAAATATAACACAAAAAATATTCTAAGTGTAGAAAAAAAAAACAAATAAGAAAAAAACAGAGAGGGACCTCGCCTTGCTGGTACAAAAACTTGCCGGAAAAACTATGTATCCTTGCAGTTGCACCCTCGTTTCAAGATCAACTTGCGCCCGGGTCCGGGCGCTGAAATCTTAAGCGAAGAAGAAACTTTCGGGCCAGGAAACTTGAGCCATAAAATCTGGCTGCGCCTAAAACCGCTAAAAAGAGATTGAGAGAACCGAGAACCGAGAACCAGCGCAAATGGTGTCGGCAATGGCTTATTTAATGGCCCAAAGAGCAAAGTTCAGTGGGGCCAACTTGTGTCCTGAATCAAATGAATTGCCTGCATTTAGGCGTGCGAAACTTTGAGCCCCCCAAAAAAACAAACAAAGAACAAATCGGAATCGCTAAAAAAAATATATAGAAATGGGAAGAAAAAAGAAGCAGTCAGCGAGACAGCCAGTTGACTTTATCTAAATGCGTTTTCTAGATTCTCAGACGCAGCAGCAGCAGCAGCAGCAGCTGCTTGTCACAGACAGACAGCCAAATCCAGGCAATTTTCGTTATTGGATTTGCGATCTGTAAATATGTTTAAGCGGGGGAGACTCCTTCAAGGAATGGTGAAAATAATGAGGCACTGGGCAAAACCCTATCAGACAAGGGTATTGGGCTTAATTGATTCTATTATTAATATCATAAATAAAGAAGAATTTAATATATAAAAATGTTGCTATAAAAATATCGCATTTAACAAATAAAAAAATAGATATTATCAAAAAAATATTCAAAAAATGAATTTTAATTTATTAAAACTCAATTTTTGATACACTTACTATAATGATTTTTGGAAATAGGTTCTATATTTTAAACAGAATATCGATTTATTTAATATATCGATATTTAATATATCTCAACTTTAAAATATCGATTTGTATATACATCTATTTGTAAAAAATCAATGTAGTATGGATTTTATTATATATAATACAATTTTACATATTGAAAAATATCACATTTAACGATAACATGTCGATATTATCGAAAAGTATCGATTGAAAAATAAAACTTTGTATTAAATATCCTTGCAGTAGGGATATATCACTTTTCTCTGCCTTCTTAAGTACAAATTCTATTTAATTACATAAAATATAATAATTTATTTCAGTTTATTTTCACATTAAAAGTATTTAAACGTTAGTCACTTATTTATGGCCAGTTTCCCTTCTGGTCAAAGTCCGCTTGTCCTTTTTATTTTCCCTCTTAAGTAGCCTTAACAAAGCCCGGCAGCTGTCGTGTAAAAAACTATTCGATTCCTTTTGCAGAATGACATTTTTATTGCTCGCTCACTGCACACGGACAGAGAACCGCCTGCAAGCCCCCTCTAAAAAATAGTGCAATGTCTGCCACTTAACATAAATCTCACATATTGCCGTAAGTCCCCCTAAAAAAAAAATATATATATATATATAGAGAGAGAAGGAACAAATAGAATAAAGAAGAAAATGTAGAAAAGAAATCCCCGATAATAATTTGCCCCAACGCACAATCGGGGATTATGGGAGGGTACAAAAGAAAAGGGGCTGGGATTTATGGGGGTGCCAGAAAAATGCGCTCAATAAAGTAAATTCCAAAAAGCTGCAGACGATAAAAGATGAATGAATGAATAAGCGAAGCATTTGAATAAAATTTGAATTCAATTTAGAACTGAGAGTCGTCTCTACCCTTGAGTATTTACTGCATAGTTTTAACCCTCACAGATCAGGAGAAGGACTTGTGAGAAATTCTTAAAAATTAAGACATCAAAAATTAAATCCCCGGAAAATATTCAATTCCTTTAAGAATATAGCTCTTTTTCCTTGTTCTTTATATTTTCTATACCTTTTTTCTAGCTTTGCAGGACACTGTAACCTTTTGGTTCGTGGCCAAGCATGAATCCTGTTTTTATGACTAAATGAGCAGACGCAATTAAGTGGGGTTCATGGGGCTGATAGAAAGGGTTCCTCTAACCAAGCCAGACGTTGAGTAAGGAGCAAGGAGCAGGTCCCACTTTACGGTGACTCACTATTCTGTGTGTTTGGCTGGCCAAAAAGGGGTAATCCCCCTTCCTTGATAGATAGATGATTAATCGGTTTATAATGAAGACAACAGCCGCTGTGGAAGCTGTTCTCTGTGGGTTGATGAAGAAATAATGACTTTTCCCAGGCAACTACTCTATTTAGCTTTGTTTTTCCCCCTCGTCTAGATTTTTCCCGGTGAACAAATTGTGCTGCTGCCTTTCCTGGGCAATTTGTTAATATTACTCGAAATGTGCCGCAGCTCAAATAGAGTTGCCGTTGCCGTTGGGGTTGCCACCACCCCCTGCCTCCTGGCACTTCCTTTCCCCATTTCCCTTTGTCGTGCCACTCATATCAAGCGTCGCATGTTGCACACACACACACACACACACACACCCAGAAATATGGGGAAAACAGCATATTTGTTTTATTTGCGTTTCTTGTGTTTCTTTGACTTCTTGAGCAAACAGCCAGCCTCCTTCTCCCACCCTCTGTCTTCCCTGCCCTCCCTGCTCTCCTTCAGCCCCGTCTCCTTATCGCACCCTCTTCTTTTTTTTCTCCCCCGACGTTTAATTTGGAGTCATGATTCCATTGTTATTTATAGTCAACAAAGCGGCAGCCGCTTGAGAAAAACAGCCAAAGGAGAGAACAGCCAGAAGAGGTGTACGCCGAGGCTTGTATACCCTTGATGGTTTATAAATCAAGAATTATTATTATTATTTTTTATATTTATCAATATTTTTTATGAAGAATTAAATTTTTAGTGAGAAATTCAACTAAATACACATAGATATGAATGAGAAATAGCCTAGATTTTATGTAATAATGATAAGAAAATAGTTTTGACTAATTTTAAAACCTTTAAGAAGAAGGAAAACTAACTTTGGAAAGCCATAGCCTCCTGTATACCCTTACAGCTTATATAAATAATATTATAAAAATTAAATTAATTATAATTAAGCCAAAAATTCATTAATTTCATTTCGGAAA